GGCTATATGGCATAGGAGGCTAGCTGGCTCAGCTCATAAGTACGTAGCTTGTGATACAATCAACTGAGAACGGGTACACTGTCTTACAATTCTAAAGGGAGTACCATTCATTCGGGCGTAGTTTCAGAGAAGATAACAGGTTACCGACATTTCGCGGGCACTTTTGTATAATGAATACGAGAAAATAGTTTGGTTCTTATCTAAGTGTTACAAATATTTGGGTCGGAGTACCAGTCCTTGAGAAACTCTAAATCTAAAATCCAGAGAACACAACCAATTGTTTTGTCCAACCATTGATATTTGACGCCTTATCTGCGAGGTGGAGACTGTAACGGAACAAGAACACTTGAACATCCGCAGCCGCATCATCTGCACTTTGAAGTCTGGCAGGGCGAATTTTACACGACATACAATACTTGGGGTAGTCGTAGTTTTACCGTGAAGTTAACCCGGGCTGCCATCATCTTCGTGTAAAAGCCATCCTACTTCCTCTATGTTGGAATTAGAGCATGTTTTGGGGTACATTTATACTGTATAAATACAAGCCATTTGTGCAACTTGGTTTGCAACTGCACATTGATTGGTGGAAAATATTTTTTTTGGTGTTGTACTAGACGCGTAGGTTTGGATGTCCTCCTCGTTTGTGATCTTCACGCAGGCCCGCTATAATGTTCAATCCGTGCAGATATGAATTTAGGATATCTTCTTGCAGTTTTTTTCGATGACAGAATGTCAAACGTTCGTAAGCGCAGTTCATCAAACTGCGAGCTTAGATGTCCATGGTATGTACTACGTCGAAGTATTCATACGAGTAGTCTACTTCGAAGTTCATGTTCTGTATACCAAACAACGAAACCTGTTACAGCACGAGTTTTTGATTCTTCAATTGTTACCAAGGTTTGACGACGGGAATTGTTTTATACAGCGCAACTGAGCCTTTCGACGTGAAAATCTGTATGAATTACACTAACAAAGCCCTCAGAAGCGGCAGACAGAACTTGGCGTTACCCGCACGTTTAATGTACAATATGCCAATTCATCCTTTCAGCACTGAGAATCGTTTCTCATATCAAACCGTTCCCAAAGATTATCAAGGTCTTTTTGGTATTTTTTTGGTCTTTTCCGTCGCTATACCCGCTGCTTCCAATGTACGAAAACTTAAAAAGTCGACACGTTCTCTTTCGTGTCACGTCTCCTTTCAGCAACAGCATGTACGCCATCCCATCGCAAACCAACTTAACCCAGCAGGATCTTGTCGTCCTCAATGAACTTGTACGGCGGGATTTCGAGGTTGAGCGGGGCGGGGCCCTTACGGATGCGGCCCGACAGGTCGTAGTGAGAGCCGTGGCACGGGCAGAACCAGCCGCCGTACTCACCAGCGTCCGACGTGGGCACACAGCCCAAGTGAGTGCACACACCGAGCACCACGAGCCACTCGGGCTTCTGCACACGAACAGCGTCCGTCTCGGGGTCACGCAGGTTGCTCACGTCCACCTGGTTCGAGATATCGATCTCCTTGGCCGTACGGTGCTTAATGAAGATGGGCTTACCACGCCACTTAACGGTAACAGTCGAGCCCTCGTTAATGCTGCTCAGATCGAACTCGGCCGTAGCCAGAGCCAGCACATCGGCAGATGCGCTCATACTGCCCACAAACTTGACGACAGCCAGACGCGCAGCGGTGGCGTAGGCCACACGGGCACCACCAAGCATGAAGTACGTGAAGGCGCGCTTGCTCGGGTCTCCGGCATCGATACGGTCCTTCTCGAAGTAGTGGTCGGGCGACTCGTAAGTGTCCACAAGAGCCTTGGAGCTCAGAGCGCGGCCTGATTAAAGACGCTTGTTAGACGATGTATAGTGAGTATGGGTGCATACGCAACGCACCCTGGAAGGCCTGCTTGCAGCGAGGAGCCACAGAGGAGCTCAACTTCTTCAGCATCATGATGGAGGGGAGGACGGAGGAGCTGTGACTGTCTGCGTCGGTCTCTGTGTGGCGCAGCGCAGACCGCACGTGGGGGAGGACGGAGGAAAAGAGATAGAAGGGGTGAAATTCTGACGGTCCAGCCACGATTGGCAGAAACACGCCTTGAAACTACGGACAAGAACATGCCGTTAAGGAGGATGCAACGGGCATAAACACGCGAAATTAGACGCGGATTCACTAAAAAGAGGGGATCTTGATACAAGACAGTTTATGCGTCTGAACAGGAATATGCTGAATACTAGCCGCTTTATCCATCATCTATGTTTTGTACACCACACAAATTGCGTACGCCACACCACTATTTTATCGCATCCCGCTGTATTTCGGGCCATTCGAGAAGCTCCACAGTTTTGCCACAAGTGTCCGGAATAGTATGTCGTTCTTCCAGCGTCTCGTGTCGTACGTGATTAACGACGTGGCCGTCAAGGCGCTGTCCAACTCGCGCGCCTTCCAGCGCTTCGCTCTCAAGACCCACTATCACGTGGAGGACGCCAAGACCATGGCTTCTACGGGCGCCGACGCGCTCAAAAACTCGGTGGAGAACTACGCGCCCAAGGTCAAGGAGTTCACCCAGGCCTTCCGGGACGAAGTCGCGCGGGACCTCAAGAAAATGAAGTGAGCAGGCTTAGCTGACCAGATGCACGAGGCTACTGAGGTGTTTTATGGTTTATAATGTATTTCCTTTTCGTTATAGAAACTCGATGTTGTGTCAACGGTGACGTTTTGTTCTATCCGACGTATCGTACGAGTGGGGGTGGTGTACTGATAGCATTGATGCTATCTTCAATATCCAATGGATAAAACAAACCTTCGATTGTTGGATCACACCTGACAGATTTCTCTAGCACAGGTCGGTTGGCTTCGGATGGATCCATCATCGTCTGCGAATATTCAGGTAACAATGGAACGCGGAATGTAGAGGAAGTTCCGTTCAGAATCTTCTCGAAGTCGTCGCAATACGGTGTAGGTCCAGCAAGCCACGGATTCGCTCTACCTTCCATCCGGATCACCAGTTCATCTACCCACGCCCAGAAGAACGAGATGTTGGTCTCCCCGATGAAGATCCAGGATAAATCTGACGATAATTTCGTCACATTTCGAGGCAGCTCTCGAATATTCATCTCACTAATTCCAAGATAAAGCATTCCATCAACCTCGAAAACTTCTGGAGGGAGCTCCGTGATCGGATTCCCAGTCACAGCCAGGTAGTACGGTTGAAGTCGCGGTAGTACAGCAGGAACAGTAGTTAGTTGGCTGTATTCGACTTGGATAATTGCAGCTGGGGGCCATTTAGTGTCAAGATTGTCAGGAAGTGTATGCAGGTTTGTGACACAAATTTCGATGTCATATAGTGTAGGTGGGAAATCTGACGACAGGAGGCCTGCTGGGAGCACGCCATTCGTCATGTTCACACGAACGATCATCAAAGACGACATTCCAGGATGATTCGTGCTCGTAATCGCCGCTGAATCGCTCCATTCTACAATTGTTGTGTTGTACACTTTGATTCCACGTAGCCCACTGAAATCACTAAAAATGTCTGGTATTTCCAGTGCGGGGCAGTGTCGAATAAGCAGTTGAACGACAGTTGAGGCGTCAAATTCACTCCATTTCTGCTGCACTTCATCAAGCGTTCCAGATATTTCTAAAGTATGACAATCCAATCCAGCAAGGTAGCATGAAGGACGGGAGACTGCCCATGGTCTCACTTGCATTAAACACTGAGGGAGTGTTGGCTGTACTGCTGCATGAATGTGTAGTCCAAGTACTAATATCCCCCAGGCCCCAAACAGCAAATGTGCTGCTCGAAGCAGTAGCCGTTCAGTCCGTGTACGTAGATTAGTATCGCGATAACTGTCACTACGTTTTAAATGGCGTGCAGAGAGCTGTGGGCCCGGTTGCGTAGATTCTGGTAGTTTTGGACCTACGCTATTCAGTTTATCTCCCCAAATTTTAGCACTATTTGCAACATCTGCAGTAGTTGGAGAAGTCGTTTGAGCGACTCTATTCACATTCCTTGGTAGAGATTGAAGTAATTCCTTCATATTCAGCGTTGTCATTACTATTCCGAGTGAGAAAATTGCACGACTAGCAAGATCTGACCATGAGACCACAACCATCATTCGAAATTCGTTAAGCGCTCGTGCTACCCATTCATCGTCGTACCAGATAAGTTCATAAAATCCACGGATTTAGAAGTTGTAGTCCCCTATGTAACTTAGCAACACCATCAACTCGATGCCCATACATGCCACAAGGTCGAGGATACAGTCCAAAACAATACAAGCAAACCGTCTTCGAGCCTCGTCCCCTTTAAATAGCACGGAATACACGATGACGGACGACCAGCAGTTAATTGCAAGCAGCAGGACGTAAAATCGATTTAACAGCGTTCTAGGAAGTAAAACACTCATGCGATAAGCTTGAACCGTCTGGAGCACCGTCTCAATAACCTCACGGCAAACAAGGACTGCGTGGAAGTGACTTCCATTCACGCCGAGAAGACCATGGCGATCGGATAGTTTGTCGTATACTTTCGTAAAACTCTTGAGTACAACAGAATTCGTACGACTTGCCTTCACGTCATCGGTTTTACTGCCTCTTGGCCATGGGGAAAAGAGCAGTGAATGCTGCCACAGTGAGCCAATTATCATAAGTAGGATACAAACGCCATGAACCGATGACATGATGACATGAACGAAGGCTATAGTATGGTGGTACACTGGCGGCATGCCGATCTGGTACGACTCGAGGTACATGTTGAGAAAGGTGTCTTGGAGATGCCAGTAGCAGTAGGCGTAAAGCGCGTTGTAGGCGCTCGTAACCAGATGAACAGCGAGGATAATAACCCACCATGCTGTGAAAACCCAATACGACAGGTTGACAACCTCAGTGGAGGTCTTCGGCGACATCACTTCAAGCGGTTTTAAACTCTGTGCGGAGACCAACACGACGAAGACGTAAATAATGGGCATCAACTCCCCTTTCTATTTTCATCAATCACTGCTTTGCTAAAAAAAAAACAATGGTATCGTGAATTTTTTCTAATACTTCACTCCAACAGCTATTTTTATATATTAAAATATGAAAATATAAACTAGTAACGTTTTAATGAAATTTATGTTTAGAAAAAATATACTCCGGAATATAATAAATAAAAATGTGTTATACATACAGGTGAGGCAACAGTGCAACATTTTATCACTGTTTCTACGGAGGTGATATCGCGTTGATATTGTCATCATAGTTGAGAGGGTAATACACACTGTAGTTGTGGACATCGCAATCCACAATTTTTGAAATGATTTGTCGGTTTTCTTGTGCTGGATTCATGAGAATTTGCGAGAACTCTGGAAAAAGCGGAAGGCGGAAGTTATTTGCAGCACCAGCCTTTAAATTCTCCAATTCGTTGCAGTAGGAAGAGCCCGCAGCTCTCAGGGGGTAACGATATTCTCCCGCTTGCGCAACGAACTCGTCGAACCACGACCAAAAGAATGAAATGTTGGTATTGACGATACAAATCCGTGATAAACTCGGAGACAGCTGTGTCACATTGCGCGGCAGCTCGTGCAGATTCAAGTCGCTTACGATCAGGTAGAACAGATCCGGAATCTCGAATAGTTCCGGAGGGAGTTCAGTGATCGGATTCCCCGCTATTGACAAGTAAACTGGATCAAGGAGTACTAAAGCTTCAGGAACAGTTGTCAGCTGAGCGTATTCCACGTAAATAAGTCCGCCCGGTGGCCACTTTGTAGCGAGGTCATCCGGTAGTAATCGCAAGTTCGTAACACAGATCTCGACATCATTCAAAGTGCTCGGGAAGTTTTGCGATTGGAGACCAATGGGAAGTAAGCCGTCGGTAAAGTTGACACGAACTAAGTACAACGACGCTATTGTGGGGTGGTTTAAAGCCGTGAACGCTGCCGATTCCCCCCACTGCGTTATAGTTGTGTTGTACACTTTAATTCCATGTAACCCCCTGAATTTTGTAAAAACTTCCGGCATCTCGAGTCCAGAACAATGTCGTATCAATAGTTGAACAACCGTGGAGGCGTCAAACTCACTCCACATTTTTTCTACAGCCTCCTTTTTTCCAGAAATGCCTAATGCATGGCAATCCAGACCAACCAAATAGCACGAAGCTTGCGATACTGTCCATGGTCGTACCTGCATGAAGCACTGAGGTAATGATGGTTGCATTGATGCGTGAATATGAAGCCCAAGTATCACGATTCCCCAGACTCCGAACGAGATGTGAGCAACATGAAACATGCTACGCTCTCGACGTGAGAATAACCGTTTAAGACTGGCAACCAGTGTGTCAAACCATGAGGTTTTGGTCTTCTGTAGTTGACTCAATTCGCCCTCAACTGTCGGTCCGGGTTTTCTCGTTTCGTCAGAGTTTAGAACCCTTTTCGACGTTTTAACGACAAAAACTAGTGGGGTTGGAGAATGCGCAACACGACTTGTATTATTTGGCAAGCGCCATAGTAAACGCTTCATACTTGTAGTAGTGATAACCAGTCCGAGTGAGAAGATGGTGCGGCTTACTAGATCTGACCATGAGACCACAACGACCATCCGAAACTCGTTTAAAGCTCGAGCGACCCACTTATCATCGTACCAGATCGTTGAGTCAAAACCTTGAAGCTCAGTATTATAGTCCCCAACGTAGTTAGCCATCACCATTAGCTGGACACCCATACAAGCCATGAGGTCCAGCATACCGTCCAACACGATACAGGTGAATCTCCTTCTCGCTTCATCTCGGCCGAAAAATACTGAATCCGCAACGATTGAGGTCCAGCAATTGGCTGCAAGTAAAATAACATAGGCTCGATTCAGTAGTGTTCGAGGTAATAGTACACTCATTCGATACGCTTGTGCGGTCTGCAACGCTGTTTCTACTATCTCGCGGCAGATCAAAGCAGCGTCGAAGTATTTTCCGTTAACGCCACACAACCCACAAAGATAGGTAACATTACCGTAAGCTCTTGTAACATTCTGGAGCACTGCCGAACTGGTGGTACGACTTGACTTCACTTCATCCCCGACGGTGCTTATTGACCAGGGTGTGAATGCTAGTGATTTCTGTCGTAGTGAGCCTCCAAGCATTAACAGGATGCAAGTTCCGTGGATAGCAGATACCGTTCCATGAACAAACGCAATTGTGTGATGATATGGCTCTGACATGCCGATGTTGTAGAATGAGAGGCAGGTGTTGAGATAAGTCCCGTCCAAGTTCCAGTAGCCGTAAGCATATAGCGCGTTGAACACACAAGTGATGACGTGCACAGCGAGAATGATGACCCACCAGACAGCGAAGTGCCAGTACGAGAGTCGGATCGCCTTCTTGGGCGTCTGCAGCACGGCTCGTGATAGTTGTCGGAGCATGTTATCTCGACTGCAGTCTTGGACAAGAGGTATGCTGACGTCTATTCTTGTCGAGGTTACCATAAAAAACGGTCATGTCACGACGAGGTTTGGAAAGTGGTTTGTCTTAACTTAGGAGAATACAACGGGATGCAAAAAAAATGTTAGCTGTAACGGGTTTCAAGATTTCCGGTATATTTGTGCGGGTACCGTACCAACTTTGTTTAATCTCGCTAAACTATTTTCGAGCAAATACTATATCATTGCAACGCATTCTATTCTACATATTTTATCAGGTCCGTTTTCATGTACACCTGCGAAGTGAACGCTGATGTTAGTTAGACAGTCTAACTTGGACTGCATTCATTCGACGTTTTCGTTATCGGTTCTGAGAATGGATCATTCACAAGAATGCGATGTCTCATTTAGAGTCCGCTGGACCAGAATAGGAGTCATTATGCTGGGCACGTCCACAATTTACCACAATCTCTAACACCTCGAAACACTCAGCGATTGCCTACTGAAGCGATGAAGAAGAAGCGGTCGATCATCCGACAGATATCCCGACTCATTCCAAAGGCATCAACCGAAGTTGTAAAACTATCGTATTGGGTTTTTGCCGTCTGGTGGGTCATTATTCTCGCCGTACACGTTGCCACGTGTGTCTACACTGCACTGTACGCCTACTGCTACTGGAAACTTCAAGACACGTTTCTCAACTTGTACTTTGAATCATACGAGATCGGCATGCCCAGTCCGTATCATCACACGATCGCTACAGTTCACATGACCATGTCAATCTTGCATGCAGCTTGTATTCTACTTATGCTTGGCGGCTCGATTTATCAGCGATCACTAGCGTTCACACCATGGGCGTCATGCGATGCCGACGCCAAACACGAGGAAACAAAATCGGATCGAACCAGCTCGGTAATTCTCCAAAGCTTCACCAAAATCTACGACAAAATTTCGGATCGACACGGTCTTTGTGGTGTAAACAGTGATCATTTCCACGGGGTTCTCATACTACGTGAAGTAGTCGAGACGGCATTGCAAACGGTGCAAGCATACCGAATGAGTTTGCTGCTTCCGAGGACTCTTCTCAATCGGTTCTTCGTTATTTTACTTGCAATTAATTGCTGGTCTTCGGTCATCGTCTACTCGTGCTTCTTTAAACGAGATGAAGCTCGGAGACGACTGGCGTGTATCGTTCTGGACTGTATACTCGACTTCATGTCATGTATGGGTGTCGAACTGATCGTCTTGTTCAGCTACGTAGGTGACTATGACCCATCGATTCTGGGATTTCCAGAGATTATCTGGTACAATGACGAGTGGATCGCTCGAGCTCTCAACGAACTCAAGATGGTTCTTGTGGTTTCTTGGACGGACCTGGCAAGTCGCTCCATCTTCTCATTCGGGCTTATCCTTACCACTATGAGTATGAAGGAGCTGTTGGCACGCTTACCGCGAAGTAACAATCGAGTAACGCAGCTTGACGGTACCAGTATGAAAGTCAACGCTAGAACCGAGAGTGACACGTTTTGGGATACCAAACTTAACACTGTGGCTCCAAAGACTGCAACGCCAACCCAACCGATCTCGAAGAACTCACAACGTAAGCTTCTGGTTAAAAATGATAGCTACCGAGGAACAAATCTTCGTAGTCGTGGAGCGCGAGTCATGTTGCGTACAGCACATTTGTTGTTTGGATTGTGGGGTCTTTTGGTCCTTGGATTCCACATTCAGGCATCCATGCAGCCCATATTACCGCAGTGTTTGATGCAAGTTCGACCATGGGCAGTGTCACGAACATCGTGCTATCTGGCTGGTTTGGATTGCCACACTCTCGGTATAAGTGGCAAGAAGGACGAGGTGGATGAAAAGTGGCGAGAGTTTGACGCTTCGACTATCGTTCAGTTACTTATTCGACACTGTACTGAGTTCGAGATGCCAGATATTTTCAGCGAATTTCACGAACTGGTCAATGTCAAAGTATACAACACAACTATTAACGAGTGGGGGGGATCAGCAGCGATTACCAGTACAAACCAACCCGGAATGTCGTCGCTATTATTCGTTCGTGTTAATATGACGGATGGTCTGCTGCCTGTAGGTTTGCTGTCTACGGATTTTCCTCAAACGCTGTACGATATCGAGTTCTGCGTCACGAATCTACGTACTCTACCGGACGATCTCGACTCGAAATGGCCGCTCTACGCTATTATCCAATTGGAATACAGTCAACTTACCACTGTTCCTGCCGTGATACCTCGGTTGGAGCCTTATTATCTGGCATTGACGGGTAACCCTCTATCGGAGATTCCTCCCGAGGTTTTCGAGGTTCAAGGCATGCTCTTCCTTAGCATCAGTAACATGAATATCCGTCAACTTCCCCGCAATGTAACGCAGTTATCGGCCGAGCTATCGTGGATTTTTATTGGAGATACTAATATTTCGTTCTTCTGGGCGTGGACGGATGAACTTGTGGAGCGTATGAAGGGGAGAGCGAACCCGTGGCTTGCTGGGCCTTCGCCATATTGTGATGACCTTGAGAAGATTAAGACTGGCGCTGCCACAGAATTTAGTGTTCCGCTGTCACCCGAATATTCACAGACTCTAATGGATCCATCGGAGGCGAATCGCGATGTAATCTTGAAGGCCGTCAGGTGTGATCCTACCATTGGGGGACTATTTTACCCTCTTGAGATCGAAGACAGCATCAATGCAATCAGCACTCCACCTTCACTGGTGTAGCCGCAATAGTAGAAGATTCAAAAGTGCTGGTTTTGTCTAGAATTTTTTTTCTTTTTAATCACTTGGTAAAATAAAGCATACCGAAATGCTACAGTAACGATTAGGTACAGTAAACGTCCCTACAAGAAAATACTACGTGAATTTCTGATATGAATCAACGGTCAAACGACGATCGTCGTTTCAGAAATCTCCCACCTCCCATTCACACTGAGCACCCGCAAATAGCATGTCATTGTGCTTCTTCATTCCCGCTCGACACCGACGCTTCGCGAAGACAAGATGCATCGCGCCAAGCCCAAAGCTCCGCTAAGCGTAAGCGATGGCAATGTTCATGTGAGGTGAAATGTAGTTTCTAAAGTGTGTTTCTGAATTCCTGTAGATCATGGAGAAGCGGATCCCGCAGAATCCCAAGTACAAGAACACGCAGAGCAAGATCGATTCAGGCACAACCGTAAATAAAATTCGTCTGATCTGTAAGTGCTAAATTTTACAGTGTCCTATTTTCGTACCTCACCCATAGAAACTCTATCCTAACTCTAACGCAGCCCATAAGGAGTTTTTAAAGCGTCGAGACGAAACTTTCCGTCGCATTACTTGTCGCTGCCTCGCTGAGCTCTTTAACGAATATGAGGACACCGGAGGTGCCAGTCAACCGGAAATGGTTGCGAGAATGGTGAAAGGAGCCAACGGAGAGTTCACCATGGAGCGAGTGCCCGTAAGCGAAGGTAACCAGGAAAACTGCGGCCCTCGCATCGTCAGCTATGAAGCTGATGAGATGGAAGACTACGATGCGCCGTATCTGATTCTGGACACTCGTTCTAAAGAGGAATTCGCTGTCAACCGCATTCATCGAGCGAAAAACTACCCAACAACCTTCTTGAACCGAGATGTGCTGCTACCGGAGATGCACCAGTTCAAGAACCAGGACTCAAAGCTTATCATTCTCTATGATCTGGATGATAAGACCGTAGCCCAGACAGCACACACGTTGGTGCAGCGTGGCTTTGACAACATCTACGTGCTCACGGGAGGGCTAGTCGACTATGCTGACGAGTATCCAGAGCATATTGAAGGCACTCCACTGCCTCCTAAGCCTGTGGATCCTGCCAAGAAGAGTGCGAGGCGGGAAGTTTACAAGGGATCGTCCGCGGCCAGTAATCGGAGCGTTCGTAGCGTGGCTACGCGTCGGAAAGGCACTCCGTCGGATGTTAGCTCAGTCATGAGCAACCTCTCGGTCGCAGAGTCTGTCATCTCCAAGGCTACAGCACGCAAGGAGCGTGTGGTAGGCGCTTCAAGCTACAGATAATGTTAGAACGGTAGCCTGCTTGTATTTTTTCATTGATGGCCAGTCATTTCACAATACATGTACCAAGGAAAGCGCAATAGTTCTGATTGGCACTTCGTTCGATATATGACGGGCGGGCTATAGCAGAAGGGCAAAAGAACCAGACTCTTGGCGTCATCTTCATCAACGGGAATCCGGCATGTTAAACAGCGCATCACACGAGGAGGGGGCCAGCAAATGCTCCCCCGAATCAACACTGTTGATGGCCTACCATGAAAAGGGGAGCATTAACACGAATTTAAGTGGACAAGTGGGAAGATTAAATTCATGTAAAGCTCCATGTGTGGTGCATTCAAGAAGATACTGTGCTGTGTTTCACTAATCGTAACCAGTAGTAAAATTCCAGCTAGAGCTGTCAGTGGTGCTGCATTTGATAGCGGAAGTGCAGGTCGCCTCCAATATTACCTTCATATGTATGACGCTACAACAGCTTCAACGGCGCTGCTTCGCGCCGTAATCTCTCGCTAATCCTGTTGCACTAGTTGCACATGACTTTGCTGCGGTGGGCATGAAGCTGCGATGTTTGCTTCGGGTCCTTTTGGTAGTTGACGTCCCTGCCATCATCATATTAACGCGACCCAAAGTCATCAACAAGCACCACACTTGCTTTCACTATGTGTGTTAATGCCGCGGCAACTAATCCAATTTTGGGTAGCTCGATTTTTATATTTTCGGGCACAGATCGTATTAATTTACGAAGGTCTGTCTGATAATATCTGATTCAACTTAATATATATAAAGTTAGACAGTCGAGTTGATGCCAATCAATAACTCTTTGCCACTTCAACATGATGCTCCGAAATCGAGTTTAGTACCGACGTCTTTGTCGCCACCCAAGACAAGTACATGCATCGAGTTAATCTCTCGTCATTCTCCAATTTCCTGTCATCTGATCAAGTGCAACCGAAAGGATGAACACCACCGAGCCGTCGTCCAATTCGGCTGTCGACGGCCCCGAGCTCAGCTACGAGTCGGGCAAGACCCTCATGGCCAAGGGGCCTCAAGCTTTCCACGACCTGATGGCTACCAAACTCCCAGCTGCAACCGGCCGCCCATTACCGCGAATGGAAGTGCGTTTCAGCAACTTGTCGCTATCCGCCGACATCGTTGTAGCCGATGACCACGCCACCAAGTACGAGCTCCCTACTATCCCGAACGAACTCAAGAAAACTCTCATGGGACCCAAGAAGAAAACTGTCCGTAAGGAGATTCTCAAGGGCGTCAGTGGACGCTTCACCCCGGGCAAGATCACGTTACTACTGGGTCAACCTGGATCCGGTAAATCGGCTCTCATGAAGATCCTCAGTGGCCGCTTCCCCATGACCAAGAACATCACGTTAGAAGGAGACGTGTCGTTCAACAACGTCCCAAGAGAGCAGATCGAAGACCGCTTGGCGCAGTTCGTCTCGTACGTTAACCAACGTGACAAGCATTTTCCAACCTTAACGGTTAAGGAGACGCTCGAATTCGCGCACACTTTCTGTGGTGGCAAGCTGCTGGAGCACGGCCACGGTATGCTCGACATGGGGTCGAGTGCACACAGAGACGTGGCTGCACTCGAAGAAATGAAGAAAATCTTCGCACACTACCCGGAAGTTGTGATCCAGCAATTGGGGTTACAAATCTGCCAAGATACCGTCGTCGGTGATAACATGTTACGTGGTATCTCCGGTGGTGAACGTAAGCGAGTGACGACTGGCGAGATGGAGTTTGGTATGAAATACGTATCGCTCATGGACGAGATCACCACTGGTCTTGACGCTGCAGCGGCGTACGATATCGTCGATACACAACGCAGTATTGCCCATCGGATGCACAAGACGGTTGTTATCGCGTTGTTGCAGCCGTCTCCTGAGCTGTTCGCGCTGTTCGACGATGTCATGATCCTGAATGAAGGTGAACTCATGTACCACGGACCGTGCAACAAGGTGGAAGCGTACTTTGAAACGCAGGGGTTCAAGTGTCCCCCCGGAAGGGATATCGCCGATTATCTGCTGGATTTGGGCACCAAACAACAGCATCGGTACGAGGTTCCACACCCAGTCAAACAACCGCGAAGCCCCGCGGAATTCGGTGAGAGTTTCCGGTTATCGCAGATTTACCAAGAGACTTTAAGTGTCTTGGAGTCGCCGTATGACCCCGAACTGGTCGAAAGTGTCAAGGACATTATCGACCCCATGCCTGCTTTCCACCAGTCGATTTTCAATAGCGTCATGGCGCTGCAGTGGCGAGCGCTATTGATCACGTACCGTAACCAAGCGTTCGTTATGGGGAAGCTGGCTATGGTGATCATTATGGGGTTACTCTACTGCTCCATCTTCTACCAGTTTGACCCGACCCAGATCGCTGTGGTCATGGGCGTCATGTTCGCGGCCGTCATGTTCCTGTCCATGGGTCAAGGTGCCATGATCCCTGTCTACATCTCCGGACGAGCCATTTTCTACAAGCAACGTCGAGCCAATTTCTTCCGAACGGGGTCGTATGTATTAGCTACGACTGTGAGTCAGATCCCCTTGGCGATTGCAGAGACGCTTATCTTCGGCTCCATCGTGTACTGGGTCTGCGGCTTTGCGTCCGAAGCCAAGCTGTTCGTGATCTTCGAGATCATCCTCTTCCTGTCAAATCTGGCAATGGGAATGTGGTTCTTCTTCCTCGCTGGTGTGCTCCCCGATGCGAATGTAGTGATGCCAGTGGGTATGGTATCCATCCTGGTGTTCATCATCTTTGCGGGTTTCGTCGTGACCAAGAGTTTGATCCCAGACTACCTCATCTGGGCGCATTGGATCAGTCCAATTGCGTGGGCTCTGAAGGCCATGGCGATCAACCAGTATCGATCAAGTGAATTCGATGTCTGTGTGTACGATGATGTGGACTACTGCACCAAGTACAACGGAATGACTATGGGGGAATACTACCTGGATCTATTCGACTTTGTCACTGAAAAAGAGTGGGTGGCGTACGGAATCATCTACCTAGTGGCGATCTACGTCGTTTTCATGTTCCTGTCGTACATCGCGCTCGAGTACGTTCGCTATGAGACTCCAGACAACGTTGACGTGTCGGTGAAGCCCATTGAAGACGAGAACTCGTACGTTCTCACTGAAACGCCGAAGGCAGCGAACAAACCAGACGTAGTTGTTGAGTTACCGGTGGAGGCTCGAGAGAGGAACTTTGTACCGGTGACTGTGGCGTTCCAAGATCTACACTACTTCGTCCCGAATCCGCATAATCCGAAGGAACAACTGGAGCTTCTTAGAGGTATTAACGGATACGCTGTGCCTGGGTCGATTACTGCGTTGATGGGCTCTACCGGTGCTGGTAAAACCACGCTTATGGACGTGATTGCTGGACGTAAAACTGGAGGTAAAATCACGGGTAGAATCATGTTGAACGGCTACGAAGCCAGTGACTTGGCTATCCGCCGAGCTACGGGGTATTGTGAGCAGATGGATGTACACTCGGAGGCTGCTACTATTCGCGAGGCCTTGACTTTCAGCTCGTTTTTACGTCAAGACGCGTCGATGTCGGATGCGAAAAAGTACGATTCGGTTAACGAATGTATCGAACTGCTCGGCTTAGAGGATATCGCAGACCAGATCATCCGTGGCAGCTCAGTAGAGCAGATGAAGCGCTTGACTATTGGAGTAGAGCTTGCTGCTCAGCCCAGTGTGATTTTCCTCGATGAACCGACCAGTGGGTTGGATGCAAGGTCTGCTAAGATTATCATGGATGGGGTTCGGAAAGTGGCAGACTCGGGACGTACTATCATCTGTACAATCCACCAGCCATCCGCTGAGGTGTTCTACCTGTTCGACAGACTACTATTACTACAACGTGGAGGCCAGACTGCGTTCTACGGGGACTTGGGCCCGAACTGCCGTAACTTGATCGACTACTTTGAGAATATTCCAGGCGTGGCTCCACTTCCTGTAGGTTATAACCCCGCTACGTGGATGCTGGAGTGTATTGGCGCTGGTGTTGGCCATGGAAGCGAAGACTCGACTGATTTTGTGTCGTACTTTAAGACCAGTCCGTACAACCAGCTACTGGAGAGTACAATGGCGAAAGAAGGCATTACTACTCCGTCCCCGGATCTCCCTGAGATGGTGTTCGGCAAGAAACGTGCTGCCAACTCGATGACTCAAATGAAGTTCGTGGTGTGGCGCTACTTCCAGATGTACTGGCGGACACCGACCTACAACTTGACAAGGATGTACCTCGCCGTCTTCTTGGCAATTTTGTTCGGACTGATCTTCGTGAGCAATGACGACTACGCTTCGTACTCCGGCTTGAACTCTGGAGTGGGTATGGTCTTTATGTCTTCGCTCTTCAACTCGATGGCGGTGTTCCAGAGCGTCATGCCCTTGACATGTGCAGAGAGAGAATCATACTACCGCGAACGAGCTTCGCAGACGTACAACGCCTTCTGGTACTTCGTCGCTGCGACGCTGGCTGAGATCCCCTACTGCTTCGTCAGTTCGCTTCTGTTCACTGTTATCTTCTACTACTTCGTTGGGTTCACTGGGTTCTCGACGATGATCGTTTTCTGGCTCCAGTCGTCGCTGTTGGTGCTCATGATGGTCTATCTGGCTCAGTTCTTCGTCTTCCTGACGCCGAGCGAAGAAGTGGCGCAGATCGTAGGAATATTGTTCAATAGTGTCTTCATGATGTTCGTCGGCTTCAGTCCTCCGGCGTACAAGATTCCGTCGGGCTACGAGTGGCTGTACAAGATCTGTATCTTCAAGTTCCCGATCGCCAACCTCATTTCGATGATTTTTGCTGAGTGCGACGAGCTCCCGACCTGGAACGAGACGACGCAAGCGTACGAGAACGTCGGGTCTCAACTTGGTTGCCAACCGATGGCAGGATCTCCGGAGACCGTCGGCCACATCACCATTAAGGAGTACACGGAGCAATACTTTGGCATGAAACACCACCAGATTGCTCGCAACTTCGGCATCACAGTCGGCCTCATTGTGCTGTTCCGAATTTGGGCGGCGCTGGCCATGCGTTACGTCAACCACCAAAAGAAGTAAGGATAGCAACACCGATGATTAGCTAGTAGCGATCTATAGTCTACCTATTTTTGATTTTAAATGTATGCAAACTTCCGGGTTTTTGCTGTTGTAATCGAAAATGAAACACCAGCCCCCTTAACTCGGAAATCAAACTTCAGTGAATAATTTTAAAAAGAACAAATGTGTAAGAAGATGGGATCATGACGGGTGGTTATAGGTTTCTGTGAGCAACTATTATTGACAACATGAGGGAGTTAGTGACACCTTGCAGAAGGCATTACGAGAACAGCTCAGGTCAAGCGGAACCGGTTAATCTAAAATGCCAGATCTATCATCTGAGACCTCCACGGAGGTTGTCAAGCTCTCGTATTGGATGTTCGCGGTCTGGTGGATGATTCTTCTCGGCATTCATTTGGTAGCTGGGGTCTACACTGCGCTCTATGCCTACTGCTACTGGTTCTTGAAGGACACTTTTCTCAACTATAATCTCGAGGTGTACCAGATTGGAATGCCAGCGCCGTATCATAAAATGATCAGTATCGTACACGCCTCCATGTCTGGTCTCCACGGAGTGTGCATCATTCTGATGGTAAGTGGTTCAATCTGGCAGCGGTCCCTCTCGTTTACCCCGTGGTCATCGTGTAATGCCGATGCCAAGAGTGTGGAGGACAAAGTATTTCGCACGCGGTCAGCGCTGATGGAGAGTTTTTCGAAAGTCTATGGTAAGGTCACTGATCGCCATGGATTTTGTGGAGTCAATGGAGAACACTTTCCGGTCTTACTGGTGTGCAGAGAAATACTAGAGACAGTCCTCCAGACTATTCAAGCATATCGAATGAGTATGCTATTACCGCGAACACTGCTCAACCGCTTTTACGTCGTATTACTTGTTACCAATTGTTGGTCCTCCATTGTGATATATTCTTTCTTCTTTAAGGGCGACGAAGCACGCAGACGCTTTGTGTGTATCATCTTGGACTGCATTCTTGACCTGATGTCCTGTATGGGTGTCCAACTCATGGTGGTGCTGAGCTATTGGAGTGATTATGTTGTAGACCTCGGAGGGTTTTGGGATTTTGTGTGGTACGACGATATGTAAACAGCGCGAGCACTTAACGAGTTTCGGGTGGTGGTTGTCGTCTCGTGGTCAGATTTAATAAGTCGTGTCATCTTCTCAGTTGGCTTAATCCTGGCCACAAACAGCATTAAAAGGTTGCTGCGGCATCTACCGCGGGGGAACAATCGAATGGTCCAGTGTGTCAATGAAGCTACAGTTGTGCCCAAATTAAAACTAAAAAGTGAAACGAGCTGCGACGCTGACAAGGCAGCATCAATAATGCCGACCCCGAGGCTTTGGCTACTCCGCGATAGGAGAAACGTACGTTCTCGACTTGAGAAAAACTTGCTTCATACAGCTCATTTGTTATTCGCAGCTTGGGGACTTGTGGTACTCGGTTTTCATATCCATGCCTCAGCACAGCCATCGCTGCCTCAGTGTTTAATGCAAGTGAGACCATGGACTGCCTCTCGACCATCCTGTTACCTTGTGGGGTTCGATTGCCATACTCTGGCGATTTCTGGTAGACTGACTGAGGTGGAAGAAAAATTTAGTGAATTTGACGGAACTACTGTTGTCCAACTACTAATTCTCCACTGTCCGGCATTAGAAATGCCAGAGTCTATCGCCGGATTTCTTACACTTCGCGGTATTAAAGTCTACAACTCAACTATCTTTGACTGGGGCGAATCGGCAGCAATTACGAATACGAACCATCCAGAAATGGCGTCGCTGTATGTTATTCGAACCAACATGACTAATGGATTGTTACCAGCCGGATTCCAGTCACTAGATTTCCCTCACAATATGCACGATATCGATTTCTGCGTCACGAATCTCCACACTTTACCTGATGATCTGGACTCAAAATGGCCTCACAATTCAGTTATTATGATAGAATTCAGTCAGTTGTTGATCATTCCTCCAGTAATTTTACGGCTCGAGCCGATCTACCTTTCTGTTTCTGGTAACCCGATTACAGAAATTCCGCCAGAGATATTTGAGATTCCAGGCTTGCTCATTCTTGGAATTGGAGCGACGAATATCAACGAGCTTCCACGGGATGTGACCCTTCCTTCTTCTACACTATCCGTTGTACAACTTGGAGAGACCAATATTTCATTTTTCTGGTCGTGGATGGATCAACTAATTGAAGGACCAATGGGACCAGTTTTGTTATGGGCTTCAGACTCTCCGTATTGCACAGACCTCTACAAGATCCAGAAGGGGACAGCCGACACCTTCAGTGTCCCGATGTCCCCGGAGTATTCGTCATGCTTGATGAATTCGTCGGAGACAAATATGGAAGTGATCACGAATACTGTTATCTGTATTAAGTCCGACCCCCACTTGTACTTTCTCACTATAGACGACTTCAATTTGGCAATCAGCACCCCACAAGCATTAGTTAGACCCTAAATGAATACTAGTACTGCGAGATGAGCTTTTTATTCTGTAATATAAAAAGGCTGACAATTGTGTCCAGAAACACTGCACTTGAGACTTACAATCCGAACCATAAGGTAACCACACATTTTGTTAATATTTCGATATTGTATTTATCGTGAGCTTATCTCAATATCGTTAAACAGCAACGTCGGCTTTAAGGTGCGATCTATTTTGTCCATGGTGTAGGGATGCCTTGACCGAAGCATCAATCCACGACTTATCGAACCTAACCTCAAAATTACTAGAACGTATTTATTAATAATCGAATAACTAAATAAAATATTGTGCTCGGATCAGCAATCCATCCAGAATGCTATCCAACACATTGCACATAACCTCTGCGTGCTTCATTGCCCTTGAGTAAACAGAATACGGAGGACTCTGTGTTGATCGGTATCTTGACGTAGATTTTTGAATACCTTATTATTCTCATACCAACTCATAGAGTGATCCATCGAAGACGAACTCGAACTGTCCGTAAATTGCATGAATCCCGGCCTGTGCACCAAATTTGCTGTTGCTCTTTGACACCGTCATTTGTAACTCAAGCTTCGAGGTATTTGCAATTCGTGAGAAGAAGAATAAAATTGGAGTATGCAGAGACGCGATTAGCATTATATGGCGCTGCTTTATGGTTTTACTTATGTTGGTGGAGTGCTGATAGCCAAGTAGTAGTCGTCGACAAGAAGAAAATACATCGATAGGTCCATCTCGCCACAGTATACAGCAGTCAGGATCACCTCTAAATTCACCTCGGACGGATCCATCAGAACGGACGAGTACTCTGGAGAAGGAGAGACACTGAAGGTATCGGCGGCTCCACTCTGGATTCTCTCAAAGTCTTGACAGTACGGAGTATTTGTAGCCATGATAAGCGAGCCCATCGCCACCACTTGATCTGTCCACGACCAGAAGAATGAAATGTTGGTATATCCTAGACGTATCCAGAGCAACGTTGGAGAAACGGCTGTCACATCGCGCGGCAGTTCGTCGAGATTCATACCACCAATTCCTAGATCCACCAAACCTGGCAGTTCGAAAACCTCTGGAGGAATCTCAGTAATCGGATTGCCAGTTACAGAAAGATGGATTGGCTCTAGTCGTAAAACCACCGAAGGAACAGTCAATAGCTGACTGTATTCCATTATAAGTATTGAGCTGGTGTGCCATTTAGTGTCGATGTCATCGGGTAAAGCGTTGAGATTTGTAACGCAAAATTCAATATCGTACAAGTTTTGTGGGAAATCTACTGACTGGAACCCGGCTGGCAACATTCCGTCGGTCATGTTGGTACGAACGATATACAAAGATGTAAGTTCCGGGTGATTTGCACCCGTAATGGCAGCCGATTCGCCCCAGTCAAGGATAGTTGAGTTGTAGACCTTTATACCGTGAAGTCCATGAAACTCGCTGATTGAATCTGGCATTTCTAGATCTGGACAGTGGCTAATTCGTAGCTGGACAACAGTAGTTCCGTCAAATTCACTAAATTTTCCTTCAACTTCATTCATCGTACCAGAGATCGCCAGGGTGTGGCAATCGATCCCCACAAGGTAGCAGGATGGTCGAGAAGCCGCCCATGGTCTCACTTGCATTAGACACTGGGGGAGTGATGGTTGTACTGATGCTTGGATGTGTAAACCTAGTACCGCAAGACCCCAAGCTGCGAATAGCAGATGAACTGTACGCAGCATATGTCGTCGAATATGAGAACGTAAGCTAGTATTGTTGCGAGATAGCACAAGCCTCGACTTTGGCATTACTGACACCACTTTGTCAGTATTGAGACTGCTGTTTGCACCGGGTAGATCCGTCTCGTGTACTTTTGCGAGTTCGTCGGTACATTTGGCCACTCGATTGCTCCTCCGAGGTGAATATTCCAGCAGCTCCTTCATATTAGTTGTGGTCAAGAACAACCCAAACGAAAAGAAGGCGCGACTTATCAAATCTGACCATGAGACAACGACCACCATTCGAAACTCATTGAGAGCTCGCGCCGCCCACTTGTCATATTGCCACAGAAAGCCCCAAAACCCTCGAATTTCTACGACGTAATCACTTGCATAACTCAGTAAAATCATGAGCTCAACACCCATGCAAGTCATCAGATCAAGTGTACAATCCAAAACGATGCACATGAACCGTTTGCGTGCTTCGTCACCCTTGAATAAAACAGAATAGACGATGACGGAAGACCAACAGTTGACAGCAAGTAATACCACGTAGAACCGATTACGCGACGTTCGAGGTAGTAGCATACTCATGCGGTATGCCTGTACGGTCTGTAGGACTGTTTCTATGACTTCTCGGAACACCAGCAACACGTGAAAGTGGTTTCCGTTTACTCCAAAAAGTCCGTGTCGATCGGTGACTTTTACGTAGGCTTTCGAGAAACTCTCGACCAAGAGTGATCGCGTTCGAGAAGTCTGTTCCACTTCTGTCTTGGCACCTGCATTACATGATGACCACGGAGTAAAAGCCAGAGAACGCTGCCAAATTGAACCCCCTAGCATCAGAACGATGCACACTCCGTGTATTGCAGACATGGAGGCATGTACAGCGCTGATCGTTCGATGATACGGCTGGGGCATTCCAATCTGGTACGAATCGAGATAACTGTTTAGGTAAGTGTCTTTCAGGACATAATAACAATAAGCGTAGAGCGCAGTATAGACCCCCGTCACTATGTGTATGCCAAGAATGATGAGCCACCACGCCGCGAACACCCAGTACGAGAGCTTGACCACCTCCGAAGAGACCAAGCTTGGTGTAAGTCGAGACATTCTGCGTCAAAGGTTTCTGTAAATGAGCTATTTTCGATATCCACGCAACCAACTGGTGCGTGTTTTCCAGCTGCAGTTTTTTATGATGAGTGGTTGTCTTCTATGTTGTTACGCTTGTTTTCTTTTGAATACAAGCCCTATATGCGTTGAGGTGGAGACGATGTCTTGCATACTACTCAATTGGTGGACCTGTCCAAGAATATGATCTCGAATATGCTGAAGGTAATAAAAGATAAGTTATAAAGAGATTTGGACACTCAAAACGACTAAAAATAAGACTGACAAACGGAAAACCTTGACGGATGCCAGAGTACTATATTTAACAGCTGAATGGGTCACCAATCGAGGGTCCAGATCCAAAGTAAATAAACACCGCACAGCCATGTCACGACTTATGTTCAAGGCCCCCACTGAAGTTGTCAAGCTCTCCTATTGGGGTTTTGCAGTCTGGTGGTTCATCATCCTCGGCGTTCATGTGGTCACTTGTGTCTACACTGCGTTGTACAGCTACTCCTATTGGGTATTAATGGACACTTATCTAAACAACTACCTCGAAACTTTCGAGATCGGCATGCCACCACCATATCATCACACCATTGCTATTGCCCATGCTGTACTGTCTGTATTGCACGCGGTAGGTATCTTGTTGATGCTGAGTGGATCGATTTGGCAGCGGTCTCTTGCTTTTACTCCATTCTCTACTTGTGATGCTGGCGTCAAAAGCGACGAAGTCAAGTCGGATCGAACGAGCTCGGCCTTGCTTCAAAGCTTTACGAAAGTCTACACTAAAATTTCAGATCGTCACGGCTTGTTCGGAGTTAACGGGGTCCATTTTCACGTGCTGCTCATCGTTCGAGAAGTCATTGAGACGGGATTGCAAACCATTCAGGCTTATCGCATGAGTGTGCTACTGCCAAGAACGCTGCTTAACCGATTTTTCGTCATTTTAGTTGTGACAAATTGCTGGTCTTCTGTTCTGGTTTACTCGGCCTTTTTCAAGGGTGACGAGGCTAGCAGGCGGTTTGCGTGTATAGTTTTGGACTGTGTGCTCGATCTAGTATCCTGCATGGGTGTGGAGCTGATCATTGTGTTGAGCTACGCAAAACAGTATGATCTCCAAATGTGGGGATTCTCAGATTACTTATGGCGCAATGACGAGTGGGCAGCACGTGTACTAAATGAATTTCGGATGGTCTTCGTGGTCTCCTGGTCTGATCTGGCAAGTCGCGCCATCTTTTCTATTGGATTAATCCTAACGACAACAAATATGAAGGAGCTATTGCAACGACTACCACGTCAGAAAAACCAAATTGCGGAGTCGTCAAACCAATTTACAGAGTCAACTAGCTTAAGAACTATTAAGGAGCAGATCAAGGGTGAGAAACTAAACACAGTTTTACCCACACAGTCACAGACGCCAGCAACAAATTTACGACAAGAAGACAAATCTTCAAAACAAACAAAGCTTGTAAAGAGCGGCGACAGCTATCGTGGCACTAAGCTGCGTACATATTGTGCGCGACTCATGCTGCGTGCAGCTCATCTATTCTTTGGAGCATGGGGGATTTTAGTGCTAGGACTTCATATTCAAGCATCAGTGCAACCAACGCTACCTCAATGCCTAATGCAAGTGAGGCCGTGGGCGACATCACGCCCATCTTGCTATTTGGTCGATCTTGATTGCTATTCTTTAGCGATAACCGGTAAAATGAGTGAGGTGGAGGAGAAGTGGTCAGAATTCGATAGCTCAACTGTCGTCCAACTGCTCATTCGCCACTGTCCAGCACTAGAGATGCCACCTTCCATTGGCAAATTCAACGCGCTCCATGGTGTTAAAGTGTACAACTCGACTATTGCCGACTGGGGTGAATCGGCAGCATTCACTAGTGCGAACCACCCGAACATTCTGTCGATTTACCTCGTTCGCGTCAACATGACAGACGGTTTGTTGCCAACTGGATTCCAATCGAGTGATTTTCCGCCGAATCTTTTCGACATTGAGTTCTGCGTTACGAACCTGCGTGCAGTACCCGATGATCTCGACCTCAAGTGGCCACGAAAAGCAGAGATTTTGCTCGAGTACTGCCAGTTGACGAGCATCCCTTCAGTACTAGTGAGGCTTGAGCCTAAATACTTGGCTTTCACTGCCAATCCGATAACACAAGTTCCTGCAGAGGTTTTCGAGATCCCAGGCCTCCGAACGCTAGGACTTGGACAACTGAATCTCAACGAACTACCGCGTAATGTGACGAACCCCTCTCCATCACTGAACATGATTTTTCTCGATGGAACCAATATTTCCATCTTCTGGTCGTGGATGGACGATATCGTCACAATGGAGACGTGGGGCCTCTTGGTACTGTCGCTCACTCCGTACTGCGTCGACCTCGAGGCGATTCAAAATGGTGTAGCCAATGCATTCAGCACTCCTCCATCCCCCGACTACGCTCCCATTCTAATGGATCCATCCCAAGCCAATGTATACCCAGTTTACTACGTTGTTTCCTGTGATCCAAGCTGGTTGGGCACATACTACTTTATCGACCTCGACGACGAAAACATGGCCATCAGCCCTGCGCCTGCTTTAGTAAGACCGTAAACTTAGACAACATGCTTATAGTGGTCATAGTTTAAGTGTTCGAAGAAGATGCACATCCAGCAAGCACTATATTTAACGGTTCAACGGGTCACTGATAAAGAGTCCAAACACCGCACTGCCATGTCGCGACTTGTGTTCAAGGCCCCCACGGGAGTCGTCAAGCTCTCATGTTGGGCATTCACAGTCTGGTGGATCATCATCCTTGGGGTTCACGTGGTCACATGCGTGTATACTGCGTTGTACAGCTACACCTACTGATTTGGATTAATCCTCACAACAACAAATATGTAGGAACTACTGCAGCGAATACCACGTCGAACAAACCAAAACCGAGAATTATCAAGACTGACTACGGTCAAAGACCAAACCAGGGATCAAAAACTAAGCACAGTAGCCCCCACCCTGTCAAACCCCTCGTCAAAGCAAAGAATGCTTGCCATGGCCGGTGACAGCTATCGTGGCACCAAACTTCGCACCCAATGCGCACGGCTCATGCTGCGTGCAGCTCACCTATTCTTTGGAGCGTGGGGGATTGTAGTCTTAGGCCTCCACACCCATGCGTCCGTACAGCCAACGCTACCTCAATGTCTGCTCCAAGTAAGGCCGTGGGCAACCTCACGTCCATCCTGCTATGGTCGGTCTTGATTGCCACACTTTAGCAATATCTGGCAAAATGAGCGAGGTGGAGGAGAAGTGGAGTGAATTCGATAGCTCAACTGTCGTCCAGCTTCTCATTCGCCACTGCCCAGCGTTAGAGGTACCAGCTTCCATCAGCAAGTTCCATGGTCTGCATGGTGTTAAGTTGTACAACTCGACTATTGTCGACTGGGGCGAGTCGGCTGCATTCACTAATGCGAATCACCCAGATATTCTGTCACTCTATCTCGCTCGCGTTAACATGACAGGCGGTTTATTGCCCGCCGGATTTCAGTCACCCGATTTTCCACCCAGTCTTTTCGACATTGAGTTCTGCGCAACAAACCTTCGTGCAATGCCCGATGATCTTGACCTCAAGTGGCCACGACAAGGCGACATCCAGTTCGAGTATTGTCAGTTGACGAGCTTTTCCTCAGTGTTTCTTCGGCTTGAGCCTAAATTCCTGGTTCTCACCGGCAATCCGATGACAGAAGTTCCTGCTGACGTTTATGAGATCCCAGGGCTCCAAACTCTGGGACTTGGGCAGCTGAATCTCAACGAACTGCCGCGTAATGTGATGAACCCCGCTGCGTCACTAATCGCGATCTTTCTCGATGGTACCAACATTTCCTACTTCTGGCCGTGGATGGACGATAGCGTCACAATGGAGACGTGGGGGATCTTGATAGCGCCTCTCACTCCGTACTGCAGCGATCTAGAGGCGATAAAAACTGGTCTAACATATGCGTTCAGTGCGCCTCCATCCCCTGACTACGCACGGATGCTAATGGATCCGTCCAAAGCAAACTTACCATCAATCAACTACGTTGTTGCCAAGGACGGCTTTTCGCGACTTGATTACTCTTAGCCTAAATTGTAATGTAATCATTACTAAATCTTAGGATTTGAATCATCTATAACATTATTGGAAGAAAAATTAGCACTATTTAACGGATTTGTGTGAGGTTTCAGTGTAACAAGGCCAAAAACCTGCTGGTAAAGCGGGCCCTTTTAGCGTTTAAAACGCCTTCTATTGGCACTAAACTGAGTCGAGCGCACCGCCAATACATAGGGGAAGAGGTACATACCGTTTTTACCTCCCACTTCCTAAAATTGAGTGAATTACGGCGTCAAAGGCGACTACCTCCTGAATCTCTTGTCAGACTCGCTGTGTTATCAGCTACCCAGCCTCTGTTAACCACGTATAAAAAATATAGGGTGAAGGCCGTAACTGTGCGCTTGATTTAGACACCGAGAGCCCCTGCAACGAACGAGTAGTTTTGGTGCTAGCCTTGAAAAGGGTTTTACTCCATAGAAATATGGTCCAGACAAGTACTGGTTGGGCACATACTACTTTATCGACCTGGACGACGCGAACATGGCCATCAGTCCCGTACCTGCACTAGTAGAAAAACCATAAGTATAGATAACGCAATGCTAGTACTCATTTCGTTAGCTTCTTCATTGGGTTACTAGAGCCTTATACCGCCTGGGCGTAGCTGTTCATGGCGATGGCCATGTCAATGTCGTTCTGGGACAGACCGCCGCAGTCGTGTGTGCTGAGCGTCACGTCCACGCGGTTGTACACGTTGAACCACTCCGGGTGGTGGCCCATTTGCTCGGCCAGCAGCGCTGTGCGGTTCATGAAGCCCCAGGCCTCGTTGAAGTCGCGGAACTCGAATTTGCGGCGGATCGCGTCGCGGTTGGGCACGACTTCCCAGGCGCTGGTGATCTGCTGGAAGCCGACAGTGCGCTCTTCCTCCGTCAGCAGCGTCGGGATGGCGCGTGTGGACAGTCTGCGTTGAAGAGGCTTAGTGGAGAGCTTGCGAAGCAGGTGGAGGGTCATGCTTGTCAAACGGTGAGTTCAATTGTGACACAAATTAACAGCACCGGAATGAAGAATTTCGACCAATGAGATGGGGATTCATGTGTTTGGACGCGTCGTTTTGACGGCGTCCAAACTTATGTACAATTGGTGTGAGGATTGCAGTTTAACAGGCACGACTGAGGTGAAGATATGCAGGCTACGTGTTAATGATTACAGAGTGAAGACAGCGTTTCCAATCTGAGATGAGAGTCTAGTTCTTGCGGTTCTTGCGCTTGAAGGCCTTGAGCTCCTTGCGGTAGGCATCTCCGATCTGCGTCGACACCTTGCGTAGATCAGTGAGACCTGAACGCAGCGCTTCGTCGGCAGGTGCACCTGAGAAAATAGCAATAGTAATACACAGTCAGTCACTCGTCTGTACTTGCTTCATTTTGCTTGTCTCGTCGACTGGAGTTGGTGATTGACTGCCATATCTTTTTACCTTGACGGGTCTGTAGACGGATGTGCATCTTGGGCTCTGACGGGTGCGGAATCGTGTAGCCACAGAAATCCACGTCAGGGCTACAATTGCACGTAATAGTCAAACATAATAGTTAGCAACAAGGTAATGAACACTCGAGTTGTAGCAATGGAGACTGCGGTCAATGTCAACTATCAGCTGTAGAGCACGTACTTGCGCATCAGGACGTAGCGCAACGCATTGCCGAGCGTGTGATCCTCCTCGTGGAAGACGTAGGTCTTGGAGTAGTCGCTTGTGGTCGAGAACACGTCGAGCTTCTTCGCGGCGATGGCCATGGCTGAGCTTGGTTAATGCGGCTTTATGACTGGTGGGCGAGTGTCGTAAAGTGTGTTACGAACACAAGCCATATGTATTAATTTCGTGCATAATTTCGGAAAGCATACACTAAATTCGGGGTCTTATTGGAGAGAACACCGTGAAGCTGGGTAACCCATCGGTGACCTCTAGGGCCTCTGAGGATGCCTGCTGGAGCGTCCGTGGTGCGTCGAGGTAGCTCTATGTCTGCACGTGATCCCAAGATGTCTGTATCGACCTTTCTGGGGCCGAAAGACGCTCTGACGGCAGAGATATCTAGCGATAACCAAGAGATCATAGACGCCGAGGACTACATCACTGGAGCCTCTCGTGGAGGCTACGCCAGCAGCATTATTAGCAGCGAAGGAAGCAGCGATAGCGAGGAGGGAGGCGCCTATGACTCGCAGGACGTGGCACAATTCTCGGTTGCAGAGCTGCAGGACCAGATCGGTCAGCAATTCGTGGAAGGTATCAACCCGTACGTGGAGCAGCACATGGGGGACGAGGAAGATTTTTACGTCGAAAACTCGTCATCTGATGAGGACGAGAACACTATTAAAGACGAGAAAACGCCCGAGGAGAAGGAGAAAGAGCTCACAGAATGGGAGAATCCGTCCTATCTGGTTAAAGATTTGGACACAGGCGAAAGTTACAGGGTGGAGGAGATCGACCAGCAATTCACACTAGTTACACTCGACTCAGTTGCTGCACAGCATGAACACAAGTAGGTGGGGAGAGATGCAGAGGGAGAAAATTATGTTTTATTCTAATATTTTTTTTTACTGAATTTAGAGAAGAACAGCAGCAAGGAGAGGAGACGACAGAGTCCACGTCGTCATATTTACTATCGCTGTATACAGCGGACGAGACAGCAGATATCGAGATCGAAGACGACCTGCCTCAAGATGCTGAAGCCATTAGCACAGGCGGCTCCATGCGAGCTCGGAGTTCCAACATGTCGGTGATCTATGCGCCGAGCGACGAGCTGCCGACTGGGCCGCCTGTCAAGTGTAATTTTTCTGGGTGTACCGAGATGCACCAGCGAGTATCGGGTTATTGTGCAGACCATGAGATGATAGCCAAAGAGGAGGAAGATTCCCGTGCACAGGCTTTGTATCTGATCCCTAGTGGCGCTCGAGCGGAGTTTATCAAGATCGGAAGCCACGGGTTTGCATATGATGCTTCCAATCGCTTGTACACGGTGTACGCCATCGAAATGCGCTGTGTGCAGTCAGGAGCGACGTGGGTCATTTATCGTCGGTACCAGCAGTTTAAGGAACTCAACGATCGCTTACGTCCCATGGGGGTGCGTGTTCCATTGCTTCCTCCTAAGAAGCTGCTGGGCTCGTTCGAACCCGATTTTATCGCCAAGCGGCAGAGCGAGCTGTCCAATTGGCTTCGATGTCTGCTAAACTATGACCGTGTGGACCAGTCAGCTAAGAATCCTCATCTGGTTGAGGAAGTTCGCAAGTTCCTGACTAGTAAAGCTGATCAACCACCTCTTCTACTGGACAGACTCCCACTAAAGCGCTCAAGGTTCTTTGGAGCGTCTCTAGCTGACGATGGGGACGACGAAAACAATAGGTTATCTACTGGCAAGCAGAACGTGTCGCTGCAAGATTTCAAGATGATTCAAGTGATTGGACGTGGATCTTTCGGTAAAGTGGTGCTAGTGGGTCACAAGACCACGAAGAAATTGTATGCGATGAAGATTTTATCCAAGGAGAACATCGTGAAGCGCAAACAGGTGGAACACACCCGTACAGAGCGACGTGTACTAGGATGTACCCGACATCCGTTCATTGTGGGACTCCACTATGCATTCCAGACTGCACAACGACTGTACTTTGTGTTGGATTACTGTCCCGGAGGTGAGTTGTTCTACCATTTATCGCGCATGAAGAAGCTGCCGGAACACATGGCGTGCTTCTACGCCGCCGAGATCACTTTAGCTCTGGAGCATCTACACGGACTGGGTGTTGTGTATCGAGATCTAAAGCCAGAGAACATCTTGCTCACCAAGGACGGACACATCAAGTTGGCAGACTTTGGACTTGCTAAAGAAGGTATCCGAGATGGCGTTAATGGCACCAACTCGTTGTGTGGTACACCCGAGTATCTCCCTCCAGAGATCCTTGACCGATTGGGCCATGGGACAGCAGTGGACTGGTGGAATTTGGGCATGGTGCTGTACGAGATGCTGACCGGTTTGCCGCCATGGTACACGAACGACCGCAAGAAGCTGTTCGAGCGTCTGCGATCCGCAAGACTGCACTTTCCGCCCTACGTTTCACGGCGAGCCGAAGCGCTCATACGTCAGCTGTTGAATCGCAACCCGGCGGAGCGTTTGGGCTCGAAAGGCGCGCACCAAGTGAAGAACCACCTCTTCTTTGAGAGTATTGACTGGGCGAAACTAGCCAAGAAGCAGGCGACTCCACCGTTCCGACCGTGTCACTCGGCGATGAACGACGGCGAAGCTCCACTGAATTTCGAGGCGGAGTTCACGCGTCTGCCGCTGCCGAGTGCGGAGAATGTGGCCACGAGTCCACAAAGTGGCCGTTTGGGCGCGTTGGGGACGCGGTTACGACGAGACTCGGATACGTTTAAGGACTTTACGTATGAGAGTCCAGGGTATCTTGAGTCTGTGGCGAAGAAAGAGGAAGCGTAAGTTGATATTTGAAGTTGATAAGTAGTGAAATTAAGCTGCATGTTGTAATGGGGACTGGCGAAACTGTAGACGAAAGACGATGACAAACAGGCTCTGGCGAGACTCCACGATACTACAACGCAGCGACGTGCTGTTGGCTTGCTCGTTGCAGCCATTCGAGATAATTATTCACGACGACAGCCAGGATGCGATTAAATCCACGCAGTGAAGGCACCTTCTGAAACACCCCGTAAAGCACAGACTGTGCTCTGCAAAGCACAACAAGGCGCACACCGGCTTCCTGGAAACTAAACTTAATCTTGTTTGTGCATGTAAGCGGAGCGGAGCAATGTTGCCTCAAAGCACTCATGCTGGTCTTGCATCGTGCGAGTATATTACCTAAAGTTTCTTAGGAAAGATAATGCTCTCAACCATAACGAAGCCTGATTTTGCCGTAATATCTGGTCTGATAGATAAAAAATGGGCAACAAATACGGCAAAAGATCCCATTTGCATAACATGTACCTTACTCATTCAAAGCTTCAGCGACATTTTTTTTTTTACCAGCAAAGCCAGGTTCATGCTATACATGCAATAACATGATGTAAATGGCGCTGGCGCGTTATAAAGCATTTGCTTTAGTGCCCACTACATCACCCTCGAAACATGCCTTCCCCCAGAATATATGTGGACGATATAAAATTATAATCAGCAGAAGTTGCAACTCACAATATTGGTGTGTGAGTCAAAGGTTTAGTTGCGTAGTGACGTTTGAGAAAAACTGTATCCAGTACGTGCCGTGCCTTCCACGTGAAATTGCAGTCGACACGCATTCACCAACAAAAGATTAAGATGTTACTGTGTTGGTCGGTGTTCTCTTCCACGCAGGACGTACAGGGAAATCGTACGATGAAAGATGGCATGTTACTCTTCAAGAAAAATGCGTTCCTGTTTTAGTCTACTTGGTTCTGTCCTAAAAAATGGGCAACTCGGCGTCATCACTTTTGGGACGTTTTTGGGCCGCGCAATCGTATGAACCGTAAACATTACGGACCTCCAGCACTCATTTTTCAATCTGCTCGCTTCAGGTCAAGTCGGTTCGAGCCAGACCGGCAGATCCACCCACCGCCATGACGGCCGAGGACACGCTCACGCCCATGGAGACGATCGAGGGCACGCCCAAGAAGTCGTGCAAGCTGGAACCGCCGAGTCTTAAGCGTATTGTGCTCAACCCGCGCGCGTACCTGACGCCCTTCGTGGTGTTCATCATCTTCCACCATCTGCCCATGTTTCTAGCCTTCGGACTCATCGACAAGCCTCACGAAGGCTACGATAATTGCGACAGACTTAAGGACCTTTTCCGCTGGCTGCATGTAGCCTTCCTCTTCCATTTAATCCTGGCCTGTATGATGTTCGCCAGCGTCGTCTACACGCTCTCAACACGTGTATACCACGAACGTCGACCAGAGGTGCGTTTTCCGGTCTTTTGCGTAGTTTTCGAGCAATTCCTGATGACTTTTCACTGCAGGGATGGTTAATTCTTACGATTTTCTTGGGCTACTGGGCTAACCTGGGCTGGACTCTCTACGGTGAAGCCGCTATGCGCACAGACACGAGTGTCTGCGGTGATACGAACTGGGAGCAGGTGCAGGACCGCGCCGACTCGATCGGTTACTTCCAGCACTTTGACTTTGTATTTACAGTGTGTATTATCATGGCTGGAGCCTGCACGTCCTACATGTGCGGCGTACACAGCGGAGATGATGCCGCTGAGGCGGAAAAGCGCTGGCAGAAGCGCTGCTTGTGTTGTTTCCATGCCTTTACTTGCCGCAAGACGATGGAATATGAAGGCGACGACGACGTCTTTGAGACGCTGGGACGTGTGTTGGGTAAATTCTTCGTCGTGAGGTATAAAACCAACCGGTACGAAGGCTTGAGCTTCACGGACTTGAAATTCAGCCTGGATCTGGTGTCTAAAGTCCAGAAAAAAGAGCGTGAACACGAGACTGAACGCAGAGCTGAACTAGCAGCTCAAGGGATCCCAACTGTGCAGCATTTCGCTCCTGATGAAGAGGAGAAGCGACTCAGTGACTTGGCCTTCTACTGCAAAATGGCTATCGGTATCTACGGCTGGCCCATTTACGTTTGGTACTCGCCATGTTACTGGTTCCGGATCTTCGGGTGCTTCAAGAAACCCTTGGAGGAGCAGGTCTTCGAGCACGACAACTTTCTACACGGCAACCGTGCGAGTTTCGTTAACTATACTGGAGTCAAGGACTCGGATCTCGTGTACTTGAACTGCTACAATTTCGTCTTCCAGGCGCCGTACTGTATTGTCAAGGACAAGAGCCGCAAGGAGCTCATCATCAGCGTACGTGGTAGCATGTCCTTCTACGACTATGTGACGGACGGATTGGCCCAAATTGTGCGCATGGAGCCTAGTGAACTCCCGGACGACATTCCGTACTCATTTGACACACGTACCCATTACGGAATGCTTCGGACGGCGCGTCAGATCTTCAAAGATCTCCAGGAAGGCACTCGTAAGGCTGTTTTCTGGGACTTTGCCATGGCTAACTGCTCTCCTGGAGGCCTTACAGATGACGAGGAAACAGACTGGAAAGTAGTGGTCTGTGGACACTCCATGGGCGCTGGAGTGGCCTGTATCCTTGCCATCTTACTGCGCAAGATGTTCCCCAACACAAAAGCCTTCTTGTACGCGTCACCGCCACTGTTTGACCCTGAGACTGCTGCTTGGACTAGGACGTTTGCGACGACCGCAGTGTATGGAGATGACATCGTGCCACGTCTCTCTATTGCGAACATGGCTCGACTGCGAGATGAGATGGCTATTCACTATGATGCAGTGGCCAATGAACCGCTGTATAAGGTGAAATACGGAGTCCATGGCAAGTTAAAAGACTTGAAGGAAGAGCGTGAACAACCAGTAGCAGCAGCTGGTCCAGAGCCAAGCGCTCGTGGAACGTTGGGTGGACTCCCCACTGTACTGGAGACAGCAAATTCGATGAATACGGGAACGTCGACGATGATGGATACATCATCGGGATCATTTATCAACAACTCGTTTATCGGTGGTTCACTAACACCGACAGACTTTGGAGCTTCGGGCGTTAACGTCATCAATCGCCCCTCACGCGATTTAAGTAACGCCACAATGATCACACTGCCACAGGAGGACTCGAGTCAAGAAGTGGACGTACCTGGTGAGATCGTCCACATTCAGACCGTGAAGATGGCACGACGCTGTGGCTGTACAGTGTTCCTGGGCGAACAGAAGCTCCAGTATACACTGCGTGAAGCGAGCTATTTCCGCCGTATTTGGGTCACGCCACGCTCCGTGCAGGACCATTTGTTTCACCACTACGACCGCAAGATTCGTTATCTCGTGAACGATTGCATGGACTTCGAGACTCCTGTGGCGGCGCATCGACCTAGCGCTAGTGCCAGTGCGAGAACGTCGTGGGTTGACGACTCGGAACGGGATAGTAAGGAAAAGTCACCTGGCACGCCCCAGGCGAACTACAAGGACATCGAAGCTGTCGTGTAAAACCCTCCGAGAAGGAGGACTGTAAAGTATTTGAACGCGATTGAAGCGTTACTCAAAATTTAAACAAGTTACCTTTTCCACTTCAACTTGTGGTGTGGGACACATATTAGGGTGGTGCACATAAATTTAGGTCCCTACAATTTCAACCAATCAGAGGGTGCATGAGCGTCACATCAAGTGCAAAAGTATCCGATGTGTCATTCGCATCTTTGCCACCCCGGAAGTACGTGACGATGGCGTCGCTCTTGCAAGACATCCAGCTAGATGAGACCTCCTACGTGGAGCTACTGCGCAAGATCATCGGCGTGTCCGAAAAGGTTCAAAATGCGCCGAGTCTGGGACTCATCCCGCAGGAGAACCTCGTGTCCGACATCGTGCTGGCCGAGCTCCAGCCGTACACTAAAGAGAACGGCGGGTATCTGACCATCGAGCGCGTGGAGTTCGTGGCTGGCCGTGGCAATGTCATTATCACGTATCAGCACCCGGACTTCGCCGACAGCGAGAAGACGGTGGCCTTTGTGGGCTCCCACATGGATGTGGTGCCGGCTAACCCCGAGGGCTGGGAGAGAGATCCGTTCACGCTCACAGTGGAGGGTGACAAGCTGTACGGACGCGGCACGACGGACTGTCTGGGTCATGTGGCACTCATGACGGAACTGTTTAAGGAGCTTGCCCAGAAGAAAGTCCGTATGGAGACAAAGGTGGTCTGTGTGCTCATCGCTTCCGAGGAGAACACGGAAATTCCGGGGGTGGGTGTTGAGACTTTGATGGAGTCAGGCAAGATCGACTTTATCAAGAATGGGCCCGTCATTTGGGTCGATTGTTCGGACAGCCAGCCTTGTATTGGTACGGCTGGTGCGATCACGTGGACACTGAAGGCCACTGGCAAACTCTTCCACAGTGGTCTACCCAACTTGGGCATTAACGGTATCGAGCTGGGCATGGATGCGTTGACTAAAATTCAGGAGCGTTTCTACAAGGATTTCGGTCCCTTGCCTCAGGAGAAGGAGTACAATTACTCGTGTCCGTCGACTATGAAGCCGACACGTATTGAGTCGTCCACCAATGGACTGAACCAAATGTACGGCAAACGTTTTGGAGGTGTTGGAGATGCACGTACTGACGAATTATCGTTTGCGTTTTGTTGTGTGCAGTCCGCCATGGGTTAAAATCACAGGCGGTGTGCGTCTGTCGCCGTTCTACGAGATGAAGGATGTAGGTAGCAGGTTGCTTGCCACTTTACCAGTTTGGATAAACTAATTATCTTCCTCGTACTGGCAGTTGATTGCCAAAATGCACTCGTATGTTGACGACTTGAACGCCAACATCACGTCACTGGAGGGCAAACGCGGCCCAGTGTCCAAGTACACGCTACCGGAAGAGGATTGGAACGGCAAGCTGGAGCTCACATTCGCGAAGCATTACTTGGAGGGTATTGCCTGCTCGCTTGAGTCTGTCGGCTACAAGTGCGTACACTCAATTCAGACCAGCCTCTTCACTACAAATTCTGACACTTTTGTTCCCACAGGTCGTTGCACGCCGCTATCGCCGATGTGCTTGGCGAGGCCAAACCGTTCTCCATCAGTGGCAGTCTACCTCTAGTGCGTGACTTGCAGCGTGCTGGTCTGGATCTGACACTGACGGGCTTCGGTAAGAGCTCGGTCTACCACGGCGACAACGAATACTGCCAGCTGAGCGACATGAAGAACGCCATCAAGATCCTGGCACGCACAGTCGCCAATGTCGAAGCAGCCAGCTCGTAAACACACACCCTGTTGAAGGTTGCGCGAATGTCCGATATTTTCCTGAGAATGGCTAGAATTAGCTTGAAGAGGCGTAAACCGTTGACACTTCACTCGAGCTACAACAATGGACAACGATGATAGCAGTGCTCCTTGCTGGGAGAACATCCCGTTCAGCGACTTGACCATCTGCGAGACTATCGGTGGAGGAGGCGTTGCACTGGTGCATCGAGGAATCTACCGCAAAAACTCGGTCGCCTTAAAGACCCTCGTACGTGGCTGTCGAATATAATGTAGCTACCACCACTGGTGCTAATTCGCCTTTCAAGTTTGATCCGCGCGTGGATGAAGCGCTCAAGCAAGAGTTCATGGACGAGCTGCTCGTCATGAGGTTTGTTATTTGCTGGAAGCTTCTTTTTTGCATGCTCTTGTGTCTTAAATTTTGAAACTTATAGCAAACTGAGGCACCCGAACGTAGTCAACTTGATCGGAGCATGCTTGGAGCCTCCCAATCTGTGTATGGTGATGGAGCTCTGCGATTACTCGCTCCATCACTTGCTCCACGGAACCAATACGTACCTGAGTCCGCAACAAATGACTCGTATTGCAGTGAGTCAAGGTGAAATTTGTCTGTAAGTGTTTCCGTTGACGTTAAGTCCACTTAAATCACAGGGAGAGATTGCCAATGGCATGAGATTCTTGCACTCTAGAAGGCCTGCGGTTATCCATCGGTGCGATTACACTTACTCTCATGAACACAATTTCAATAGTTCCCTAAATATTTTTTTTTTCTGTGAGAGCATAGCGATCTGAAAAGCGCGAACGTCCTACTTGACCGCAAAGGTGTTGCGAAGCTCTGCGATTTTGGTCTCGTACGGTGAGTTTACTCGTTAAGCGCTAAGTACTCGACTTTGAACTCAGGAACAATGCATTGCCGTTGTCAGCACGAAGTTTACGACTGCAGGGACGCCAAGCTACATGCCGCCTGAGCTACTGAACGGCCAGCCATTCTCGAAATCTGTGGACGTCTACATGTTTGGCATTCTTCTATGGGAGGTCAGTGGCATGCACCTTGATTGATGCTCAAATGCGAGATATGACAACCGCAATGGTAGATTTTCAGCCGGGACATCCCGTTTCGAGGTTATGACGTGTCGGATATTAAGAGACGAGTCCTGGCAGGCGAGCGCTTTCGAGTTCCGACTGTGGATTGCCCCCGCGAGTGCCAGGTAAGCACAGGGACGTAACACTTGATGTTTCAGAGATACTAAGTACTTAAGTACTGCAGGAATTAATGAAGCGATGTTGGGATGGCGAGCCGAGCTGCCGACCAACGTTCGATGAAGTGTACGAAGTGCTGCAGGATGTTTCATTCGCAAGAACCTTCGAGGCCTCTCAAAGCGTCTTCGAAGGCGATGCACTCGACAGCCTACTCAACGCGAAATAGCAGCGATAGCTACTCGATTTTGTAGCTATTTTTTTTTCTTTAAGCTGTATCTTTGACCCACTGGTCCAGCCCCAAGTCGTTCCAGCGATCCACCTTCTCGTCGGCAGTCCACATCGGAGGCTCACCTGCAGCAAATTCAACGCAATTAGTATAAAATAAACAAAACATTAGTTCATTCTGCGGGTTTGACGAACCAGTTGGGCTCTCGCTGCCGTTGGGGTCGACATCTAGAGCAGGAGGCACTTCAATCTCTGTTTAACAGCAACAAAAATGAGGAGCAATTAATACTGTTTTGTCAATTCAGACACGTTACCATCGTCCGACAACGTGTCCGTGATCCAGTCGTCGTCCACGATGTCCAGGAAGTGCTTGCGCGGGAACAAACTCGGTAGTTTGCTGTCCTATCGCCACCACCAACAGTCCTTCAGCGTCAGATCCTTCCCACATATACCACCTGCGCTTACGACATGTGCCGCACCATTAGCCACTTTTTGAGATATTGGTCAAGATGGATACAGACCTTCACTCATTTTTTTTTAAAGTAAATATAACGAAAGGCAAGTCAAAATCTCTCCATTATCACTCCGATGGCGTCGAGAGCAGAGCAGCGCAAGCCTCGTCGAGGTAAAACTCGTCCTGCCGGGCGTAAAGATGACCCTCCTGAAGTTCGTCTGTCCAAAACTTTGGCATACGCGTTGCGTCACGGAGCTGAGGATCTCCAACTGGACATGAGACCGTCGGGGTTAGTCCCGTTGGCTCAACTTCTCTCTCTCTCACTGTTCCAGTCATTCACGGAGCAACAGGTCGAAGAAGTTGTGCGTACCAACGCTAAAAAGCGGTTCTCAATGACCACAGACGAGTCCGGAGCCGTGAAATTCATCCGAGCCAATCAGGGACACACGCTCCAATTGGTGCAGGACGAGGAGCTCTTGACTCCTTTGGAAGACCCTAATGCCATTGACAAGTGTGTCCATGGGACGTATCTCAAGTTCTGGGAGAGTATCTGGAACTCTGGACTGTCTAAGATGCAGAGAAACCACATCCACTTTGCCGAGAGGGAGGTAATGGATGATCAGGTGGTGAGTGGCATGCGGTCGAACTGTAACTTGCTGCTGTACATCGACTTCCCCATGGCGGTGAAGGACGGAATCAAGTTCTACAAGTCCAGCAACAACGTGGTATTGAGTTCTGGCTTGGGGGACACGGGGGTTATTGATCGACGCTACTTTCTTCGAGCGGTCAAGAGAGATGGAACGATAGTGTATGAAAGAGAGTAAATTTTGTTTTCTCTTAAACCTACGAAAATAGTCAGCGAACTAAATCTCCGCTTCATCTTCTTGTTCGTCGAACTCCTTGATATGTAGCAGGACAGCCTGTTTAATAGCTTCGGATTCTGCAAGCGTGAAGGCGTCCTCTTCGGAGGGAAGGAACTCTGTTTCTTCACTTTCACTATTGCTAGGTTCGCCTTGGAAATGGCCAGCAGTCTCGATAACGATGTCCTCTTCACGTTCGTTGGAGCAGAATGGGTTGATATCTTCTTGAAACAAGGGGTTCACATCTTGGTGTTGACGGTTACGGTCTTGTAGCCGCTGGAAGCCTCGACGTCGTTGAGGAATTCGAGCGCGAATGGCTAAACCGAGAGAAACAATCGCCAAACACACGGGAATGGAGAATAACCAGTTGGATACGTCAGCGCTCTTCGCCATCTCCTCAGTTTGCGTAGAAGCCACGTTGGCAATCGCTGCTTGTTCGTATACAGGGTCCACGGGACTGTGGTCGGCCTGGTCCTCCAAAAGTATCGAGATATCGTTACCATTGGCTTTCGGGAGTGTGAGACTGTTCTTCTGTGCTTCGTCGAACGCCAACGTCGAGTCGATAACAGCACACGTCGTGGCGTCCACGCAAACGTAGCAGCCAGTCTGAACCGCCCAGAGGCCGTGAGTGCCACAACGATAGTCGCTGAGAGTGTCGGGCATCTTGACCGAGCACGTCAAAGGACCACCATCGTCACAAAGAGTGTTGCGCTCAGCGAACGCAAACGAAGCAGTTAGCAGCAAGATGAAGGTCGAAAGGAGCATGACGTTCTAGTTTGACATGCAAAAGTCCAAGTGAGAAAGCGTGGGGGGGATCAGATACCGAAGATCGCTAGTGAAGGGACGCAACCATTCCACGGATCAAGGGCCAGTTTTTCTCTTCTTGAATCTTAATCAAGCTGCAAATTATCTGCAAGCATGGTGGGTATCTGTGTGTTGTTCTTGTTGAGGGGAGTTAAAAGCTGTAGTGTTCATAGTCGGCGACGCTTTCGGAGGAACACGAGCGCGAGCTCAAGAAGATTTTCGACGACTATGATCAGGTAAAGTGAGTGTTGTGGTTGATTGACGAATTGAGGCTGGTATGAAGCTCTTGTGGCTAGAACGGATCGGGGGATATCGATATCGACGAGGTAGGTGCTGTACTGCTCTTCGCGGTGAGAAGGAGTTAACGCTTTTGCATTACATTGCAGCTACGCGACATCGCAGAGGATCTTGGTGAGCCTCTGTCGGAGGTCGAGCTGGAATATCTAGCCAAAGAATTCGACACGGACGAAAGGTACGAACTGGATGCCGAGGTTCTGGCCAATACAACAGTCTTCATCGGATGTCGTACATTTCTTTCGCAGTGGTGCTATCAGCTGGACGGAGTTTATCGCGTGGTGGAAGCTCCCGTTCTAGGGCTGGAAGAAGTAGCGAACCACACTCGATGACGTTGATCTCCACTATTTTTAAGGCCCAACGCATGTCTTCGTGGTAGCTAATCCATTCAACCAACCAGCTCAGGTTCATGCCGAGTATTTTTCATGTTCCATCATGCTTTGCCGACGTTAGTTTCGTGACAGATATATTTCCGTCGAGTTTTTCGTTTCAAAACCAACTTGACCGATTCCAACGTGCCCAGCTATCTTGATCACCAAAACTCGATCGCATGGAAGTGCTGGTGAACATGCCAGCGGACAAACGAGCACTAAAATTGGCCCCCACTCCGTTGCTTTGTTCAAGTTCTGCTCCGTCCCACACCAATTCGAGTTGAGTTCGGGTGACTTGGCAAAGCAAGCTTCTCCTTGTTCCCCGCATGCAGCGGCTCAGCTCCAGTCTATTAGTATTCGCTCGTTCCTTTCAGCAACATGGGCAAAGATGATCGTAGCGTTCCGGCGATCAACGACGACGGCTTCACTATCAACGGCTGTAGCTTCAACGTGAACCCCAAGTACCAGCCCATCGACGCTATCGGACAAGGTTCCTACGGTGTCGTGTGTTCCGTACGCAACACCGAGACAGATGAAAAACTCGCTATCAAGAAGATCACGCCCATGGCTGGCGATGAATGGGATGCCACGCATACGCTTCGTGAAATTCGACTCATGCGTTGCCTTGGAGCCCATGAAAACGTGAGTATTTCAGACATTAAACCTTCACTTTTCCAGTCAAACGTTAATCAGTAGTGTTCGTTATTACTGTCATAGATCATTTCACTAAAGGACTTGAACATGTGCAAGGAGAAGGATGAGTTGTACATGATGATGGAGCTCGCCGACACAGACTTACATCGCCTTATTCAGAGTTCCTGTCCACTTACTGAGGGTCATATTCGAGTCATCATGTACCAGGTTCTCTCCGGTGTCAAGGCGATGCACGATAACGGTGTTCTTCATCGCGACTTGAAGCCAGGGAACCTCTTGCTTAATAAGGACTGCGAGTTGAAGATCACGGACTTCGGTCTTGCCCGAATGATGCCTAAAAAGGCGCAATTAGGTCCAGAACAAGCTTCAAATGACGGTGTATCCATGATGACAGAGTACGTTGTGACGCGTTGGTATCGACCCCCAGAGCTCATGCTCGCACCCAATGGTAGCTACGATGGAGCCGTCGATATGTGGTCTGTGGGGTGCATTCTAGGAGAATTGGTGTCCCGTAAACCGCTATTTCCCGGTACAGACTTCATGGATCAACTCACGCGTGTGTTTCAAGTGCTTCCAGTGCCTGAACCCGAAGATCGAGGCTACGTAATCGAGAAAGACGCACTCAAATTTTTGTCGTCACTTCCTGCTCCAGTACCGGGTGCTCTGGAGACCAAACTAGGCGAAGCTGTGGGCCTCCAAGCTCTGGATTTACTGCGTCGATTGCTGTGTTTTAACCCCAAGGAGCGGATTTCAGCGGACAATGCACTGATGCACCCGTTCTTCGACGGAGTTCAAGAAGAGTGGGGCGAGATTACTCCTCTGCATCTCCCTCATTCTCTTGAATTCGCCTTCGAGACTCAATCTCTACCGCTCTCCACCTTACGTCAGTACATCTGTGACGAGGTGCTTGCGTTCGCTGATCGAGCAAGTAAACGTCCACCAGAACCACACGAGAAGGAGCCTCAGACCAAGACGGAAACGCCCACAACATCGAACTCTGAGAATAACAACGACACGCCTTCAGTACTGGAGAATGACTGTCCTGTTGGCTCGGGATTCACACTTAAAGGCTGCGATTTCAACGTGCCAGCCAAGTACAAACCACTTCAAGTACTGGGTGAAGGCTCGTACGGCATCGTGTGTGCAGCGACGAACACGGAGACCAAGAAGAACGTGGCAATCAAGAAGATCACACCCATGGCTGGTGATGAATGGGACGCCAAGCACACGTTGCGTGAGATCCGTCTCATGCGGTACTTCGGCAAGCACCCGAACATCGCGTCGTTGCAGGACTTGAGTACGTGCATCGAGAAGGACGAACTGTACTTGATGATGGACCTCGTGGACACGGATCTCCATCGTCTCATCCAGAGCAAAACCAAGCTCGAAGAAGCTCACATTGCAGCCATCATGTACCAGCTTCTATGTGGCGCTCAAACGCTGCACGAGAACGGCGTTCTACATCGAGATCTGAAGCCTGGAAACATCTTGGTAAGCAAGAACTGCGACGTCAAGATCACCGACTTCGGGCTGTCCAGGTACATCCCACACAGCGCTCGCAATGAAGCCGTCAAGTCTCCCACAGACGTAGAATCTCGACGTGCGGTGGATAAAACTCAAGCGTTGATGACCGAGTACGTCGTCACGCGCTGGTACCGTCCACCTGAGATCATGTTGGCACCCACGGGTGTCTACAATGAGGCTGTGGACATGTGGTCCGTTGGCTGTATCTTCGGCGAGCTGCTTAATCGCCGGCCAATGTTCCCTGGCTCAGATTTCCTGGACCAACTCTCGCGTGTGTTCAGTGTTCTACCCGTTCCAACTCGTGACAAACGCGGCTATGAGGTCGAAGGAGACGCCTTGGCCTTTCTCGAAAGTCTTCCACCTTGTTCGCCTTCAGCTCTCACTAAATTATTCCGCCGTGCATCGCCTGAAGCTGTGAGTCTGCTGCGACGTCTGCTGTGCGTGAATCCAGCGCGTCGTATCTCGGCGAAACAAGCACTGGCACATCCATACTTCAAGAGTATACGGGCTCAATTGGGTGAACCTCCAGTGTTCAGAGTGGACAAGGCCTTCGACTTCGAATTCGACTACCAGGAGTTCTCGCTTACTCACTTGAAGACACTGATCCAGAGCGAAGTCAAGTTGTTGCAGAAGTATGGGCTCCCTCCTCCAATTGTTGATCCAGAACCGGTCCAGGCTGCAGTATACGAAGAAGTGGACGACTACGAGGACGAAGAAACCAAGCAGGAGATTGTTGGCAACGTGGAGCAGGCCAAGACAGTAGAACCTACACCAGCCGTTGTCACTGGACCTGAACATGACGTTGCCGTGTCCAAGACAAATTCTCACGCCGAGCCAGAGACTGACGAGCCAGCCTCTACAGATTCCGAACCGGATGGCAAACACCGACAGCAACAGGATGAGGAGACAGAAGCTATTCCTCAGAAGAAGCCAGCCACTGTAGAACCGACCAAGCAGATTAACGATGACGATGACAAGCCACGCAGGACGACCAAGATTTCTTCTGCTCGCTCGGAACCAACGACTGCGTCATCATCAACACACCGGTCATCCAAGACGACCACATCGAGCTCGTTGGCGCGTCCAAAAAGTACCGGAACGACGTCACGCCGCTCGAACATTTCCTCAGGAATTTCTACAAGCCGAAGCAGTGGAGGGATCTCGTACCGCTCGAAACGGGATGACGACGAAGTCTCTTCCGTCTCTAGCATTAGCAGCAACAATCGCCATAGCAATAACAACGGCTTGGATTCCGTCGATCGTGGCGGTAAATGGGGCCACTCGCGTTCCAGCGTCATGGCGTCGACTGCATCTTCAAGGCTTCACAGGTCCAGTCACAGCTCATCGACTTCTTCAATCCACGAACGTAGGAGCGGCACTGTAAATGCCTCTTCGATGGCCACACGAACCGGATCCGCACGAGTATCCAGCAGCAACCAGCGTAGCGCCCGTGGCGACGAATCCGTTGACCGTGAGTCCGTGAAGAGCGACTCTGTACGAGGCCCTGAGCGTGTAAGCGCAAGTTCCACCCTAACGGCAGCTACAGCTTCGTCACTACGTCGACAAACGAGCTCTGCCGGTGCAGTGCGAACGCTATCTGCCAGAAAAGAGTCGCTACCGGAAGGTTGGATACGTCGCATACACTCTAAGAGCGGCCGTGAATACTTCTACGACACTCTGAACAAGGTGGCGTCCTGGAAACTCCCAGTCAAGAAACAGCAGCTCGACAACATCTTCGCTGGCACCTCGAGCTCTTCGACTTCATCGTCTTCATCTCGAGTCGCGTACGGTCATCGCCAGAATGTTCAGGTCACTCCGGGCACGTCGTCGACGGCCTCGTCACCGTCCAGTGCAATGACACCCGAGTCCCAATCGAGTCGCAGCTCGATGCTTTCCAGTCGACGAACAGGGTCCAGTACTTCCAGTAACCTGCCCAAGGAGTGGGCACGACGCACAGACCCCAAGACTGGACGCTTGTTCTACGTGAACCTCGTCACCAACCGCGCGTATGCCAAGCTTCCGTCCTCTGTCACCGCAGCCATGCTCAACCTCGGCCGAGAAGCTGTCGCCAGTAAGCGCGCTGCCGCAGAAGCACTCAGCCGTAAGAAAACAACGGTACCACACAGCCCACAGTTCTCGCAAATGTCTTGGCAGCGTAAGAGAGTCCCCAACACGGATGACTGAGTGGCTCGCCTGCTCCTGATCTCCTTATAAAACCTAAGCATCTATAATACAACAAACATGACTCCACGGTTCACAACGAGCTTAGATTTGCCTTCATCGTCACGTTTCATAAACACAAGTCAGTACTTTGCAGCTACTAGACCTCGACGCAAGCAGTGCGTATGCCACACAGTCACGCGGGCCGGTTACTTCTCAGCAGCATCGACGTTGGCGATCGTGAGCGCAAGGATCTTCATGGCATCCTTCATATCGCTCAGCTGGCAGTATTCGTTGTCACCGTGGTACACTGAGCTCTTGCCAAAGCCAACGAGCGTCAGGTCAAAGCCACCGCGCTGCATGTCGCGAACAAGAGGCAGACTACATAGCAGAGCACCGAGTTGCGTTAGTACTTGGCACGGAGCGTGCATCATCATGTAAAGACGCCACCTTCCGCTAATGGAGAATGGCTTCGCCTCTCCAAGAACGTCGCTGATTGCCGAGTGCAGAGCCCTGTTTCAGCAACAAGAAACGTTACGCGCGAGATCCAACTCAACTAGCTAAACACTCTGGACGTACTTGTAGCCGGTTGAATCCAGCGAGCAGGCGATGCCTTCGTAGTAGCTCTTGTCGAACACCAGCTCCAGCTTGCCCTTGCGGTTTTCATCCGGGAGCGTATACTTGGAGACTGGTCCACGGTTTCCCTCCAGAGACGTGATATTGGCGTTCAGATCGTCCACAAAAGCAGTCATCTTGGCAATCATCTGTGTAAAAGCTACTAGTTAGTCTAATAGAGTTTTAATAAACACATCAGACTTATACGGAAAACAACCTCCTTCATGTCGTAAAACGGAGACAGACGCACATCACCGGCAACCTTGGCCCATGGCGGACTAGAAAGCACAACAACCATCACATCAGTAACGTATCAACGCAACTCCATCACTCCACAGCCCCGCCTACATTTGGTTGAGCCCGTTGACCGATGATTCAATGCGCGTAGGCTTCATTGTGGACGGACAAGAGTAATTGTACTCCTTCTCCTTATCCACAGGTCCGAACTCCTTGTAGAAATGCTCCTGAATCTTAGCCATCGCATCCATAGCAAGTTCCAGTCCATTGATGCCCAAGTTCGGCAGGCCACTGTGGAACAGCTTGCCCGTAGCCTTGAGCGTCCACGTAATGGCACCAGCCGTACCAATGCAGGGCTGGCTGTCCGAGCAGTCGACCCAGAACACGGGCCCGTTCTTGAGAAAGTCAATCTTTCCCGACTCCATCAACGTCTCGACGCCAACGCCTTCAATCTCACTGTTCTCTTCCGAGGCGATGAGTACACACACTACCTGCGTCTTGGTCTGCACCTTGTGCTTGGCCAGCTCACGGAACAACACTAACAAGCTGTTAGTTAAACCCTAATGACAAACCCTAATTTGACACCTACAGGTCATCAATGCTACGTGACCCAGGCAATCCGTAGTGCCACGTCCGTAGAGCTTATCGCCCTCTACAGTGAGAGTGAAGGGGTCTCTCTCCCATCCCTCTGGGTTGGCTGGCACCACGTCCATGTGGGAGCCCACGAAAGCCAGCGTCTTGTCCTTAGCGGCCGAAGTCGGCGCATACTTGATGATAACGTTGCCACGGCCAGCTACGAACTCCACGCGTTCGACGCTTAGTTCAGTTCCTGTGAAAGGCTTAAGCTCTTCCAGTACAAAATCTGACACGAGGTTTTCTTGAGGAATGAGTCCCAGGCCAGGCGCATTTTGCACTTTTTCCTATTGAATTTAACGTTAGATTTTGCGATCCACAGGAAAGCATAAGGCGGGAGGAATGGAGAGGGTTATGGACACACATACCGAGACGCTGATGAGCTTGCGCAGAAACTCCACGTACTCCTTGTCGTCCAACTCGAGGTCCTGTAGTGCTGCCATCTTCAAGGCTTTTTTCTTAGTGGCGATCTTCCCTGTCAAAAAAGTTCGAAATTTGAAGTACTTTTTATTAGTGTTTTTTGGTACACTCATCAAAAGTTGTAGACGAACAGACAAGCGCATGATGGAGGTTCAACACTCATCGTGTTACATGTATTGACAGCGAAGCGTGCGCTTTACTTCGAGTTGGCTGCTTCCACATTAGCGACCGTGCGTGCCAGGATCTTGATGGCGTTCTTCATGTCGCTCAGCTGGCAGTATTCGTTGTCGCCGTGGTAGACCGAGCTCTTACCGAAGCCTGTCAGTGTCAGATCCAGACCAGCACGTTGCAGGTCGCGCACCAGAGGTAGACTGCCACTGATGGAGAACGGTTTGGCCTCGCCAAGCACATTGGCGATAGCGGCGTGCAACGACCTGAATGAGAGACACAATGTTAGTATTTTAAGTTATGTGTCATAAAAAAAAAAATGATGTACGCACTTGTAGCCGACAGACTCAAGCGAGCAGGCAATACCCTCGAAGAATTGGTTTTCGAACGTAAGCTCCAGCTTGCCGTTCCAATTCTCCGCAGGCAGTGTGTACTTCGACACTGGGCCGCGTTTACCCTCCAGCGACGTAATGTTCGCATTCAGTTCGTCAACATACGAGTGCACCTTGGCAATCAACTGTCCTCACCAAGAAAAAGTTAGATGCGAATTACCATCAAAGACGAGCAAATCGTTACGTACGTCTTTCATATCGTAGAACGGCGACAAACGCACGTCACCGGAGATCTTCACCCAAGGTGGACTGCACACAACGCAACACACAACAGCCATTCGTCAGTATCAGCTCCATCAACACCCCACAAACTTTTACCGTACATTTGGTTCAGTCCGTTCGTGGACGACTCAATACGTGTCGGCTTCATAGTCGACGGACACGAGTAATTGTACTCCTTCTCCTGAGGCAAGGGACCGAAATCCTTGTAGAAACGCTCCTGAATTTTAGTCAACGCATCCATGCCCAGCTCGATACCGTTAATGCCCAAGTTGGGTAGACCACTGTGGAAGAGTTTGCCAGTGGCCTTCAACGTCCAAGTAATCACACCAGCCGTACCAATACAAGGCTGGCTGTCCGAACAATCGACCCAAATGACGGGCCCATTCTTGATAAAGTCGATCTTGCCTGACTCCATCAAAGTCTCAACACCCACCCCCGGAATTTCCGTGTTCTCCTCGGAAGCGATGAGCACACAGACCACCTTTGTCTCCATACGGACTTTCTTCTGGGCAAGCTCCTTAAACAGTTCCGTCATGAGTGCCACATGACCCAGACAGTCCGTCGTGCCGCGTCCGTACAGCTTGTCACCCTCCACTGTGAGCGTGAACGGATCTCTCTCCCAGCCCTCGGGGTTAGCCGGCACCACATCCATGTGGGAGCCCACAAAGGCCACCGTCTTCTCGCTGTCGGCGAAGTCCGGGTGCTGATACGTGATAATGACATTGCCACGGCCAGCCACGAACTCCACGCGCTCGATGGTCAGATACCCGCCGTTCTCTTTAGTGTACGGCTGGAGCTCGGCCAGCACGATGTCGGACACGAGGTTCTCCTGCGGGATGAGTCCCAGACTCGGCGCATTTTGAACCTTTTCGGACACGCCGATGATCTTGCGCAGTAGCTCCACGTAGGAGGTCTCATCTAGCTGGATGTCTTGCAAGAGCGACGCCATCGTCACGTACTTCCGGGGTGGCAAAGACGCGAATGACACATCGGATACTTTTGTGACGCTCATTCATCCCTGGGATTGGTTGAAATGGTTGTGACGCACCAATATGGACGCGACAAAAAGTCCCTTGAATGTATCTCGAACTCGGTCGACATTCGCGCGACGTTGTATGGGCTCTTAGAATCTGTGGCCACGACAGTTCCTTTTGTTCAGTACCAAATAGTCATCGTTGTTGTCTCAATGATGCAGGTCTTCTAGCAGCTTATATCCAACGTTTATCTCGGCTCTGCCTCGGTTTGGGTCGGTGACTGGCAGCCCAGCGGGCTTCCATCTTGTCGCAATGTCCTTCATGCACGAGCCAAAATTGAAAGCTCAATCCTTCGTTGTGATGGAGTGCAGTCTGCTCACTGCTGCTCTCCAACACCGGAGGATTAACATCCACACGCAACAGAGTCATTTCAACTATATGATGCACACTAGTAGTTGTAATGTGCAAGTATTTTCCTTTAGATCACCGTCGACTGTACAGCTTCTCGCTCGAGTTACCTTGACGCGAAGAGCGCGTGTGCTTGAGCAGCAGCGACGCTTGTGTCGTGCCACGAGTAACCAACGACCTACAATAGCAACATGTGCGTGAAGTGAGTACTCTAGCAGTTCAAGACTTACCAATACAGACACGTACTTGATATAGGGCTCCAGCTGCTTAATAGTCCACTTCTCCTGCATCGTGAAGAGCTGCTCAAAGCGCTTCTTCGGCTCGGGGGACAGTAAATCCTCGGGGAAGTACACGATGCGTGTGGGCTTGCCTGCCTTCTGAGGTTTAACCAGCACGAGTCCACTGAGCATCTCTAAGTTGACGGTCACACTGTCAGGGACGCGGAGCTTCCACTTCTCCATGAACTGGTCCAGCTCCCACCCAGCATCGGCAGGATTTAAAGCCACATGCTCTTGTTGGGCTTGGAACTGCGCCTCTGCTGCCTGTTCGTCAAACAACGACTTGGCTCGGAACGTGGCAACCTTCACAGGGTCCAGTGTGCAGTGATCCTCGTCGTTGACTGCCTTCAAGGAGCCATACAGCTTGCAGCACTGGCGGATCGCCACTAGAGGCTCTTCGAGTTCATTCAAAAACTCCTTGACAGGAACACCAGGCTCCGCCAGTACGTCCCAGTCATGCTGCACGATGGTATCCAACATGTCCGTAAAAATCTGAGACTGATAGGTGGGTTTCAATAAGCGCCATGTACCGGCCTCTTCAAAGGCATGAATCTCTTGCAGCATGGCAGAAACCTCATGCTCACTAACTTGCAAGGCATCAACCAAGTCACTCATTGAGTATAACTTGCTAAGCTTCGCACGCTTGGCTTGAGCTGCATCCCGCTTAGGTTTCTCGTACGGAGCTTCTAGCAGTAAAGCTCTAAGCTTCGTAGGATCAGGAACCTTGTGTTCAAGCTGTACACATTAACACAGCGTTAATGCACCCATCTTGATATCCGTAGCTGGTAAACAGTAGCGTACCAGGTAGTGGAAGCGAGCGGCTCCTGACACTTGAATAGTTCTCTTGTCCGAGGTCTCTTTTGGTTTGCTCCAGTCCGTATGGGTAGTGAGGAGACGCAAATTCGATGTATCCTCCTTCTTAATGTAGTACGACTTGTCCTCCGTGCACAGAACTGCTCGTGCATCCGGTGCGCCAACGATGAAGACCCTGCATCATTATAAGAGTCAGTCCATGTATCTCCAATACATTTAAGAGGCGGTAGCACGCACTTGCTGCCGGTGGTGATGGCCTTTTCGATCTCGGGGTTTAGCTGCAGCAGTTTGTACTTGTCCTCGTTGAAGTCTGCGGTCGTCACGATCATCGAGTCCATGGCGCCCGCTGCCTCGGGCTCTGTCATTTTCCCGCGGTAATTTACAGTTAAATAAACGCGGGAATTTAAGTAAAGTGCAACTTTTTCACAATGTTTAAACGTTTATTATTTTCACATGTTTAAACGGTTTTACATTGTTTATGTTGTTATATTCGCTATCTGCAGGCTAATAGGATCTCGATGACTGCGTCGAGCCTTTCTGTTATGTCTTGGATGCCTGCGTCGCCGACAAGTCCAGAGACGTTCGGTGTGTCGAGTATGCGCTTGAGTTTTATTAAGACTGGTAGCACCTTGAGATTCAAAAGTTGAAAAGCAGTACCTTCAAGTTGATCCACTAGTACACTAAGAAGGGTGATCGTCAATCTCAGCACTTCTGCGTACTCGGATACGTCGAAGAATACTGTCCGGGTTGCATGTGTAGAATCGTCTTCAGTAATAGTAGGTAATGGCTCAAGAAGCTTGAGTACCAGGTCTCTTAGCATCGGCATCACCGTCTCCAATTGATCCGTGAACACATCCACATGCCGTTGACTGAAGTTCAGTAGCAATACGAGCGCATACACTCTGAAATTAGAGGCCTGTTCTGAGGACGCCAATGCCGCTTTGGATCGACTTGACGCCATCTCTCCAGTATCTTCGCATTCAATTTCTAACGACAAATTCACATTGCGATGCAAATGTTTGACAACCGTCGGTAGCAATTCAGCAATGGCCGTCAACGTGTCTTCATCCGCAATGACTATTATCCAGCCCAACACAAAGAAAGCGTCTCCTTGCACCCACTGATTCTTTCTGGTAGCCATCTTGGTCACGCTTTTGAGTATCTGCTCCCCATAGAGTCCGAGCAGTTGTTGACCTGCAACCCTCGAAATACACAGCGAACCCACCGCATTTGCAGCCTTGCACTTGAGCTGAACATCACGCGCACTCAGTGCAGAGATAACGTTGCGTAGATGCACATGCTGCGGCTGCTCTTCGATTGCATGATGCTCTTGTGTGTTGGTTTCGGCATTGGAGACGACCAGCAGCCGACGGATCTCCATGCTGATGCTGTCCAGAGGCAGCGCTGCGATCTCCGTTAGCGCCTCGACGAACACCTGCTTATCCTGGTCTTCCACGCCATTAATCGGGTCCCACTGCAGACAGCGCTGTAGCTGCTGGGCATACGCACCCAGCGTCGAGTGCTCCACTTCCTCCGAAGCCTCCATAGGACTTTTGTCGAAAAAAAAATGCATCCAAGTGATGTATCGCACATTAACGAATGTAGTTCACTTATGTAAAGTGTAACCTTGGTTACGCATTGGAGGACCATCATGGTGGCTAAGCGGCATGCGCCGTTCCGACCCAAGTACGGCGTGGAGCTGGGCTTGCGTGTTCGGGATCGGGACCCGGACACGAACGAGGTGTTGGCAGCTACGTGTCTGTTCTGCCAACTATTTGGACGCGAGAATAAGCCAGGAGCCCAACGTCGCGCCACGGAGAAAGTTGCGGTGTTCAAGCCTCCGTTCCGCAAAGACTCGATCCAGATCCACCACGTCGGGCAGCACCCCACCAAATGGGCCGAATACTGCGCATTATCCAGCGATGACAGCAAACGCGCCTTCTTCATCGCCGCAGGGGCGTCCATGGAGCTCACTCAAGCCACCGAGACCACACAGGACAGTGCGAGACCCCGCAAGACGCAGCGGACGTCAACTCCCATCTTGATAACCCCAACTTCAACTTCGACACTAACCGTTCAACCACCGAGAACTGCTTTACCGCAGAATACCGGTCAAACATTGCATTGGCTCGTAAACCGAGACATTGTCACGGTACTGGTTGGTATCATGCTTCCCTATGCAGCGTCGCCAGTTCCTGCGGGTCAAACGTATCAGTTGCATGCAGTGGCAGACTTTGAGGACATGGTAAACGCAACAGAAGGTGTGGCCGTGGATATGTTGGTAGCGAGATATCGAATTGTGATCAAGGACCCGATTCAGTTCCAGCAATTTGTGGACTATTTGAGTACCAGTGGGTCACTGAACAATACAGCCAGGATGCTACACGCTAGCTCCCAGCCAGCACCCATGGGTCCATTCTTTGATGATGATAGACAGCTATCGCCGATCAATGTGGCGCAGTATGCGAGGTTCCTGTGTGCGATTAATTTGCAGAGGATTTCAGACATCGCCAAGAGCTCAGGGATATTCTCGATCGGTCTCAAGGTCGCACCAATTGCCCCTGCATCGTTTTTTGAAGCGCAAGTAGAATACTGTTTACATTTGCAGCTCAGAGTGTTTGTAGATGGAGAAGTCACGAGTTTCCATGTGCTCTCGATTCCGTTGAACAAACGCCGTCGTTCAGACGCTGATGGGTCCAGTGGAGTCTTCGAGATTGCTGAAACAGCGCTAAATGTAATTGTGCCGCGATGGAAGGACACTATTCTTGCAGTGATTTGTGATAGCGAGGGTATCACTTCTCAAGAATCGGACGACCCACGACTGTTGCTCCGTAATGCAGTGGCTAGTCGCTTTGAGAGTGTTGCAAAGCCTGGCTTTTTGAAAGTATGCTGTGCTGCTCGTCAGCTGGACTCGCTTATGGAGAAGTTCTTTACTAAAATTTTGGGTAGTGACGAGGTTTATTCGAAACTCACGGCTTTGGTCGCATACGTTAGTCGTCAACGCGTACTGCTTAACACGATGAAGACAAACGCTCCAAGTCTCAACGACAGTAGATGGAGATCGATTGCTACGGTTACCATGTGGTTCCGACGCTATGGTGCGAGTATACGACAGCATTTTGAGCAAGTACAGTCGAGTTCTGCGCCCCCAGCTTCGTGGTGGATTCGCGTGTTGTTAGCTGCTCGGATTGGCCAGGAAGTTTTGCCAGTTCTAGAAGAAATGTCGGGATTCACTACAGAGACGTCTCGACCGCGAAATGCTGTAGACAAGCTACAAACGTTCTTGATCAACTGGTTCAACATTTCCGGCCCGCTGGAGCTTGACGACCCGGCGGTAGCAGCAGCCACCGCTCAGTCCAGAACCGACAATTCGGTCGTATCCAAGGATGGCAAGTACTCGATCAACACCAACGATGTTTCTACGGCACTAGAAGATCTGGGAACGTTCATCGCTGATACGCTACAGGCTGCTGAAAACGATGATGAGACCTTGAATGTAGTGATCAAGACCACGGTCAATGAGGTTGCTACCGGTGTGGTCAATGTCGTAGCCGGTCTCAATTCAGTCACGCTCGATATTGACGGAGTAGGCGCGGTTCTATCGGATCTACCGGCTGTTCTACCGCAACACCTCGTAAAGATGCGTGGACGTCAATTCACGGCGAGTCTCCGTCCTCAGATGGAACGGCTTCGACTTGCGGGCTGGTCACGACAAGAAATCGACTGGATCGAGCAGGACTTCCAGGATCTGTGTGGTGCTTATTTTCGTGAACCGCCATTGAAATCGGCGCTGGATTCGCATATCAAAACAAGCGCCTTCCAAGCTTCATGGAGTTGTCTTCAAGGGCGATTTATACGCCTGCAACGTTTTTGCGGTCTCATGGCGACTGCGTTTTCTATGGCTGATACCACCAGCGACTCTACGAGTGCAAAGAGCTTCTCGGTAATGGGCTGCAATGCTTTGGCTCCAATGTCACAGATCATCAGTCTACCCGGAGACTTGGAAGCTGGTGTGTCTGATCTGTCGGTGCAAGCTGCGCTGCAGGCTAAACAGTTTCGACGGCTCCAAACAGTAAAACCTTTAGACATCGGTTCAACATAAATACATGGCCAGTTTGAGTTAACCAACGAGAATGGAGAAAATAGTTATTGAAATAAAATTGAAGAGCCACTCTGCCAGCTACTTCGTTTGTTACTACTTTTTTGGCTAGAGAACTAAACTCGTCTTCACTTCACAAAGGTACTTTAAAACCTCTGCTCGAAAGAAAAAAATGCACATTTTCCAATCCAATTATTTATACTGCAGAAGTAGTGTACTGCGAGTAGTATTTGTGGTTCAATCTGACAGCGTTCTCTGGTTTTCACATTGCAACCTGGTGAAGATATTTTTAAAGGTCTGTTGTTGGATGGGACAAGGAATTTAAGACCATAGAGGATCCTCGTGCTTCCCCTGAAGAAGCTCTGATATTTAGCAACAACAAATTATATTTATTATTATATGTTTCGAGATTTCTTTGCCGTCGCATCTGCTCCGTAGCCGCAACATCAAAGCTTGATTGCATTGATAGTACAGCTTGAAACATTCAAAAACGACAACTCCCTGGGTGGACGTAGACTTTACTTCTATTGGATTGAAATTACACGATGACTCTGTAACCTGATGGAATCGTCCGCTGATACCCGTGAGGCCTTGCAATTATTGGCAAGATTAGGTCAAAAATTACAAGTCGAGACAAAAAGCTTGTTATGATGGCCCCTAATTGGCAGTTTACCTTAGCGCGAATGTCAGGCTACTTACGAGCGAAGTTGCTTATCGAGTCTCATCGTTCGAGGTGATTCGTTGGATTTATCGAAAGTTTGAAGACAAGAATCGAGTTGATTTGGTTGGTCAAGTGGGGTGGTTTATCCCTACTGGTCGTCTACAGCCTGATGATCAGTATTGGACGGTGATCGAACCTTCACCGGAAGACCCTGAGCACTTCTGGATCGTTCGAACGCATTATCCGCTGGAAGGCAGGAGTACATGTAGTGCAATGGGATCCACGCTTCAACAAAAGGCGATCCAGGAATCGATGATGGAGGTAATCGCGAAAAATCGCGCCGGTAATTGTAAATTGTGCAAAGTACTTTTCTGGATCAAGCGGGCACCATAATGCACCCGCCTCCTGTACTGTCAGCGTATACCCCGCAGTGTGGAAGAATTCGTGTGAGTGGATCCTGTTCTATTAGCAGACTCTATTCGAGCTCAAATTGGAGTTAGCAGATTGGTAAGTACCAGGTAATAGTGCACAGCGATTCATCCTGGTATTGTTTCTTTTAGTCTTTGAAGTTATCTAGCGCGACTAGAATGTTTTGGGTGTTTAAGAACCTTTAAACTGTATTAAGCTAAAAACAAATCGTCCTATTTCAAGGTACCAACTACACTTTGCGTTTCCCATCTCGCCATAGCTTGTACAAGCGCTCAATAATGGTGGCCCATATTTTCTTCACCTCGATCTTCATTCCGGCCAAAGCAGCACCGATAGTTCGCTCTTCGTCATTAGCATTGAACCCTTCTGTGGCCAGCTTGTTGTCCCCACGCAAACGGCTTTTCTCATTAACTGTGTACTCGGTCGACAGTACACGAACTGGAACGTTGGCAGTGCTGGATGAGGCAGCTGCAAGAGTTGCTGCAAGCAAACACAGAGTCGCGAGTATAAGCAAGAAAAGTGAGCGCATGGCTGGAAGCTGTTGAACGTGAGGAAGCAACTTCGGGACTGATTGAGAGCAGGTACTACTCCAAAGGAGTACGAGTGCATCTGATCGGCCACCATTGATGTCAGGCAAAACAACTTTAAAGTTGCCCCAACTGCATAATGTTGCTAGAACAAGCCTAACAAAGAATCTCGTCTGGAAAGCCGGAGAAGCTGGACAGCTGTTACAGTATGTGTGAAAATGGCGGTGCCGACAGTGCTGTGGCTCCCAATGCCCCCCCCCTTTCCTCCCGCACAGCACTTGGATGTAAAGTCCCAGTTGGAATTCCTTTTATAAAGGCAGGCTGCCAAATTCATAAAAGTAGCTGGGGACGCAATTGGCGTGAAACCTGATTTAGTCTTAGATAATACTAGTATGAGTCACTCAAATAGTCCAATGATGATTTGTTCCGCTGTTTACCAGCGGATGCCCTAAACAATTACAGAAGAGCAGGTCGCTGATCTGGTCTTTTTTGGTCACCGCTAAAGTCCTGGCCGTTAATTTTCGGACACCAGAAAATTACAATAACTTTGGTTGTAGATCAAATTAGCGCATGCTATTTAGATATGAATAGCCAATTAGAATAACAAAAAGCGGGCATGTGTAAAAATTTGCGAATTTGAAGGCCTTCGATGGCCTCCCATACAGCTTTATTTCTTCGTAGTTGGTCAAAATTGTTCGGACGTAAGGGCATACTTTATTTCATAGTAAATATCATAATGATTGTGTGATTGATTGATCGGCTGGGGAACTACATATAAGTGTGGCTTGGCGTGGCCCCAAAGACTTCACTTCCCAATGGGACGAGGGGCACCAGTAGGAGCGCGAGAACGTGGTCGCATTGCAGGCCTTCGTGAAAGCGGTCAGACCATTCGCGAAATCGCTTTTGGTATCAAGCGCTCCAAGGACACAGTGAGCCGTGTTATCCGCGAGGGTATCCGAGCCACGAAGGGCAAGGGGCCGAAGAAGACCAAACCGCAAGGAAGACTCCCCCCCCCGTGATATCGCTCCGTAAATTTCGTCGTGTCGTCCGGCTCGCTGCGAACGGACCTTACACATCTGCGCAGCTCAAGTCCCGCACCGAGACTAAGGCATCGGCTCGCAGTCTTCGCCGGCTTTTTTCCGTGTAGACTATCTAGTATACACAAAAATGGAGAGCACGCTAGACTTATCTCCTGCTCACAAAGCAGTCCGACTGGACTGGGCGAAAGCCATGATTACGCGCGACTGGACTGACGTCGTCTTCAGCGACGAGATAAAAATTAACCTCGACGGGCCGGATGGCTACAAATCGTACTTGCGTGACTTGCGTTACCCGGCCCAAAAGTATGCCAAGCGTCAGCAGGGTGGGGACATCGCGGGGGGGGGGGGGGGGGGGGGGGGGGGGTCAGTGATGGTATAGGCAGCATTTAATATCGAGGGGAAGAGTGAGATTGCGGTGCTGGTGGGTAAGCAAAATTCTGCTAAATACGTCTACACGTTATCTGATTTCCTGTTACCTGCACCATGGCATTGACTTTGTTTTCAGCAAGACAACGCGAGTATTCACACTTCTCGCGAAACACTTTATTTGAAGAAATGCAAATAGAAGTGATGAATTGGCCTGCGATGTCTCCGGATCTTAATCCTATTGAGAACCTCTGGGCTATTTTATCACAGGAGGTCTATCAAGACGGTCGTCAGTTCAACACGACACAAGAGCTCACCATGGCCATCGTTGCAGCCTGGGCCAAAATTCAGCATAAAACGCTGAAGTCCCTGATATCCTCAATGCCCCGCCGCTGCATTGAAATTATCGAGTGTCGTGGAAACAAGACAAGTTACTAGGCTAGCTCATGCTGACAATCATTATTTAATATGAAATAAAGTATGCCATTACGTCCGAACAATTTTGACCAACTACGAAAAAATTAAGCTGTATGGGAGGTCATCGAAGGCCTTCAAATTCGCAAATTTTTACACATACCCGCTTTTTGTTATTCTAATTGGCTATTCATATCTAAATAGCATGTGCTGATTTGATATACAGCAAAAGTTATTGTAATTTTTCTGGTGTCCGAAAATTTATGGCCAGGACTTTAAACTTGGGGTCCAAATAGGGGATCAGAATGAAATAGGGACCAAACACAGACCACGCACAAAGTGACATTTTTCAATACCTCGTACATTGTATATTAGTAAGCGAGACCATTATATTATGCATTAGAGGTTGCATGAGATTTTGTTTATTATCTAAACTACCTACTTGTTTTGGGTTGCCGCCACGCGGCGGGTAATTGGGGTCGAGCCCAGCGTTGGTCGACCTCTCCTTCTAGTTGTGCTGGCACGACCTCCTCGTGTTCTCCGAGACATTCGAGACCCCGGGTAGAACGTCGGGGTTCACGACGAGGGCCCCTTCCACCTCGAGTTGTGCCACTTCCACGACGTGACGAACCGCGGGCTCCACGGCGAGCTTGAGGCACTAAATTTACAGCGACAGGCAGAACGATTTCTTCGTGTGGAGGGGTCATGGCTCGGGGCTATATCGCTGAGAAGTTGTACATAGCGACGCGAAATCGTGTCAATTGTGCGATTAGGAATATGGGTGAAACGGGGTGTAGCAGAACACAAATACCGTCAGATGTGGATCTTCACACAAACCACAACAATACGCCTACTGTACAACCTATATTTGCCAGTTGATCTGGCTAAGCCAGGTAAGATAGGCGCTTTTTTGGCCTGCGCTGGGGTTGGTCCCCCGCGGTTCGGCCCAGCCGGGACAGGCGGTTTGCTAAGTCACGGCCAACCAAGTCAGTCTCCTTCGAGCGTTGGTAGGTGATCCCTGTGAATCTCTGTTCTTGAAAACCTGTGCCCTCCATCAAAGGATGGACGACAGCGCGCGAGCGCTTTTACAGGCCGCGGAGCGCATCTCAGCTAGAAGTGTCACGGCACCCAGGCAATCCAGCGTGCTGGCTGACCGACCTGGCGAGTCTTGTCAGTTCCTGGTTGAGCGGGTCTTTTATGTGCTCGCTGAGTGAGTCTTACTTCTTCGCGCAGAGCAAGACTGCTGCCCTACCCGGGCCTACCTTATCTCTTGACTCTACAAGTCAGTACCCTACAACCTGTGCCTCTCGGGTTCCAACGGCAGACATAATCCGGCCCTGTGCCGGTACCTACCGGAAGAGTTTGCATGTGTCTTGAACTCGGATAATTCTGCTCTGTTTGTCTCTTATCTGCTAGGAGCCTATTCGGGCTCCTCCTGTTCTTTTCCTATATTTTCATAACAAATATCAAGTGAAATGGAGTATCGGATCTCATCCGACCATTCACCGGCTCCAACGGCTAGGCGACTCTTCGGACTTAGCTGACGTCCGCCGGGTGAGTACCGTGACCCTTGACTCCTTATCCATCGTCAGGCAGGTCATTATCGTAGACCTTGGCTCCTGAGTCGCATGGGTACATTTCTTCCTGGCTCATCCTAGGTCCTGGTTAAGACGCGACGCCGAACTTGAATATCTGCTTCAACGTATGCCGCGGATGCGGCGAGATCCATGACGCTGGGAGGAATTCTACAATCTGAATCGCCCGTGGTTGAATCCAGCCAAGCACGGAGGACTGCTACCAGAGGAAGCGGAGAAGATGTAAAACTTGGACGCTCGCCGGGTTGGAATCCGGTATGAGCGGAGAGTTCTAGGTACTGCATTTATGCATTTGTGAACAGGATGTCGCTAGATCATGGTACCAAGACTCCAGATCAAGCCAAAAATACACGTAATCTGCATGGGATGCCAGTTATCAAGATCTCAAGCCTTCATCGAATTGATGAATATGCCAGATCCGAAATCTCATCGACCTTGGATCTCTATCTCGGTGAGACCAAGGGATTTGGAAGCAGCTGGACCAGCATCGATGGTTTACAACCGCTAAAAATGAGATCGTCACTGAACCTCCTAAGATTTGTCGGATCGCAGAAGTCCGCGGATCTGAGGTCGGATCTATGAATCTTCTCCCTGGGGAGTCCCGTGGATAATGGAAATATCACGCACCAGGGAAATGGATTCGACAAGCCAAGGTAGGAGGCAAAATCAACAATATGAAGACGATCCTGCTTCTGGATAGCGGCACCGAGGTGTCTATATCGGACGTCGCCTTTGCTTGTAAGGTAGGGTGCCAGATCGAAGACTGCGTTTGTGTTGGGGGAGGTGTATACAGAAGGAATAGGAGGGCTCGGATCAAGATCACGCTGACAGGCTGCTTAGTGTATTGGTTCGAGATCTGGGTCGGAGATATAGTCGGTCAAGGCGCGATCCTAGGTATGAGTTTCATGGTACCTGCCGGGGTGACGCTGGATCCGGCCGATGGGGCTATGTGTTTCACTGACGAGATGCGGATCCAGCTTAGTGGATGTCGACCCTTGTACGGTACCAAGATGAGGATCGCGAGGGCAGATCAAACAACCTGGATCGAACCTGGCGGAGCCTGGCAATTACCTGAGCGTCTGAAGTGGACCGATGTCACGCGAAGCGAGGAGTGGGTAGCTCGGTAGTCCAAGGACCAGATCGATCCCAATACCTCCAGATCACGAATATTAGTGATCGAAGATTTCTACTGTATCATTATCAGGAAATTGGTGGCTGGCTTGCGGTGGACTGAGTGCCGTAGCGCCCACGATGTGTGACGATTGGGTCTCGCCGATATCGGGAGTGGAGAATCAGCCCTATGAAGCGACTACCAAGAGAAGACCTGAGGCTTCAAGCGAGTTGCCAGAAGAGCCGATCGGACCTTTAGTCGAGCAGCCGGTGTCTCCCACGCCGCGTATGATACTGAAGAGAGAACGACGGAGCTCGTGCAGGCTGGATCTCTTGTGCCGAAGAGTGATTACGACGACCCATATCTGATTCCTGAGTCTGGATTTCGAATGGCTGAAATATATCGGAAAAATTCAGATGGTTCGTCGTCAGATCCAGGGTCTACGTCATATGAGACGTCAAATTATATCCAGTGATGGCGACACTGGTTAAGCAAGAGACATCAAAAGGAAATCTGCCTTCGCGTGTGTCGGGTTACGTTGTATTGAATATGGAGGAGGGATGCAAGCTGGTCGTGCCGCCTTCCTACAATCGAGTGAACTGAGGCCTGATGTGGCGAAGTCGGTGAAAACGTTTTGCCGTCCAGGGGGTGGTGTATAGCGCAACCCAGAAAACAAGGGGGAGTACCAGAGAAAAACCCTTTCTCTGAGCCAGTAGGTCCGAGAAGCCACTTCGGCGCGAGAGAATTCGGCCAGGAAGAGTCGTCCTGCGCAAGGATGAACCGGGTATTCCGCGTACGGTGGTGAAGGTGACTTTCAGGGTGGCGTGAGTACCTTGCGTATCCTCGTAGGCTTGTTTGTCTTCGACGGAACAGCACTCCACTGGATGGACCTTGAGGGGGATGGAAGATCTATAACCTTAGAGGAAGTGCGGGGCAAACGTCCACTCTAAGATGCAGCCTCGGGAACTTCGAAAGTAATCCTGGCGCAGGTGTCCGCACCTGGATCAGGGATACCAGAAGTGTGTACGCTAGGATGCAGAGAATATGTGTACAGTCTCCAGGTGCGTTTCTGGACTGGTTGATAACCAACAGATAAGCAGAGGATATTTGCAGCTGTCCCAATATTACAGACCCGGGGCGGGAGTATCACACGCTATGCTCAGTCGAGGCTTAGCTTGGCCACCTAGCAGGTCTAAACACTCACAATACAGACGCGCTCTACCTCAATTAAGAGGATAGAATTCGATGTAATCCTGGATATGGTCAATCCACACAGGAGTCAATACAAATTCCTAGAGGCGGCTACTTAGCGCTCTAGGAATACAAAGAATAATTTGAAATGGGCAAAACACAAACAAGTTAGCGACCCAACTAGGATATGATATAGGTGGGTCACTTAAGGATATCAATCACTGGTTATCTCCTAACCGGACTTGAGATGGATGGAGTTCCAGCGAGTGATCAGTCCTTCTTGATCAACTTGCACGGGTATGTGGGGGCGCAGGCGGCATGATTGCTTCTTCGATGCGGCGCTTCCCTGATGGCTAGTACTGAACAGAACACTTGTGCTCTACACGGCTAAATGAACTCTGTGTAAAGTTACCAATAGATCCTATATCTTCTTCTTCCTGACTTCTTCTGTCTTCCTCTTCATCTCATTTAGCATCCTTCTCGTTTTTGTCTTGTCTTCATTATGGTCATCTTGGTGTTGGTATAGCAGTCCGCTTGCAGTTGGGCTTGGTCTCGACTTCATTATAGTCGAGAACGAGTGTCTTGACGTCAGTATGAAGCGATCTTGTCGACTCAACAGTTTTGCCCTTGGTCATGGTTGAACTTCGGTACGCGTTCCGCTTGATCGCGTTACCTGGTCGTGGGTTGGTGGTTGGCTGTCATCTTGGCGCAAAGTCGATGAATCGCAGTATGTCTTGAGCAAGCGCTTGGTTGCTCCTACTAGGATGCACCGGTCATTCACTGGTGTCATCTTGGGACTTGTAGTACATTCCTTGGATTGGGCGTGGGAATCTCAGAGGGCAGTATACCGAGGATGGCCTGTCTCCTGGATTACACCTTGTAATTTTGGCGCGAACTTCTTGTACCGTATTCATTGTGGCGCACGCAGCGGGTACACCCTTGGTATGACTTCAACACACCATACATCTTGGCGTGTGTGTCTGGCACAAAGTGTATCCTGGCTCAACGGCCTTCTACCGCGTTCATCTTGGGGCAAGGGCCTTGAGCGTTGCTCATCCTGGCGCAGGCACCTCGTACGGTATCCATCTTGGCGTTGCTTGAATTTTACAACAGCAGGCATGGGGCAGCAATCTGTACGCTGCACCAAGGTCGGACAAGGGGATCAGACAGTAACAAAAAATACGCCCAGCGAGCTGCTTCTAATTGAAGTATGACATATATTTATAGAAGCCAGGCGCAAACACATCGATAAGTTGTTCAGCAAAATGGTCGTCGTCAGCGCTTAACGACGGACAGGAAGTCACAGGCGCAACTCAGAGCGACCTTGCCTTCGGTGCCTCCTCATTTGCCCTCGCTACAGAATCCAGTAGACGTTGACACTGTATCACTGTGTCTTATCTTTATCGCGGAGGATCAAGCTAGTTTCCTGACAGGGCCCTTGCCTCACGAGAGCAGATATGATCATCTTACATCATCTCTTTCTTTGCAGCTCGATCTTGATCTCGATCCGCGTCCGCCGGCTGCACACCAGGGACGTGATCCAGATTTGACTCCTGTACTTTTACAACTTATGATTGTTCTGGTCTCATTATCGGCGGATCTCCAGATCCCAGATGCTTCGTCTCAACAGAATCCTTCCCATCAGGCGAAGGAACCGGATCTGACGGAAACGTACCGTGTGGGGATTCTCCCGTAGTAGAGAGTTGATTGTGATCTGTGAGACAAAGTGGTTTGGAATCTTCAAATGGCGCTACGGTGTCGCGACTTTGGATTGCAGTTGATGGATGATGATTGACTGCTTAGCGGATGATACCCCGGCCGCACCCGTGTGACACGGGCGGAGCTGGGCTGTGTGGATTTTGTGGAAGATATGTTGGCACCTGGATGGAGATGGGTCCGACATTTCCTGGTAGGCGTGCCTCCTGAAAATGCATATTCAAAAAGTCAAAGAGACATCTCATTCCAGGCCCGGACTTTCTCTTGCGAGGAGTACCTAAAGACTGGTGGAAAGCTATCCTGGAGAACGTATCGTAGGACGACCTCCTCTCACTGTAGTCCCGCCCAACAAGAACAATAGCGCATACCCAAGATGGTTACGGGTAAAGAACACACGCTGGACGCCTCAAGGACATATTTCCCTTAGCTGAACGACAAAAGGAGCCCGGAGATGTGACCAGTGAGTCTAACCTAGTGAATTTAAAGTAATATTCAATGTTTTTTTTCTTTATTCACGTATCCCTTCTTAGAGCATCTCCACCGGTAGGTGAGTAAAACCAAACGTACTAAAAATCCTTTCCGGACCAAAAATTTAAAATCGTGCAGGAGAGCTTTGCTCATACACACATGCATACGCACGACCAGAAAGTACGGGGTTCTGGCCAACTTGCGCAAAACCCATACTCGTGTGTTTGTTTATAAGCAAAGCTCTCCTGCATGATTCTATGTTTTTGGTCCGGAAAGGATTTACGTTAATACGTGTAGTTTTACTCAACTACCGGTGGGGATGCTCTAAGATGGCCAAATTTTACCGATCGAATACAGGGCTGTAGTTGGTGCCGTATGTTTCTTGCATTTTGTATCAACACATGCTTTAAAGATTACCCTTCTAGTCATACTACATAATCAACGCGACCTTTTTTAATACTTCTCTCATGTGTTCGCGGTAGGCTACCACAGGTTTCACTTCCAGTTTCACTTCTGCCCAGCGCCCTCATGTTTTCCCCTAAAGAGTCAGCGATATTATTGGAGCTTCTTGACGGTCCAAACATCTTGCTCGATACGGATCTCATTGGTAATGAGGAGGGAGTTGTCGCACCTGCATCACGAACCCGGAGGAGCTATCGCAGCGTAAAGAGCAATGTACCTTATTCGACAGGGCTTCAGCGTCGTCGGAAGGGGGAGATAGCAGCACTGCGGATGCAAGAACAGGAGCTGAGCGCCAAGTTAAAATATTTAACTGAAGCAAGCAGTCGTCTCTCGCACAGAAAAAAAATGCTAGGGGAACATCATGAGCAGCCAAAGTGGCGTGATCGTGCACTTGGCAATTGGTGTGAACGAAGGTGCTCGGTGCGTATGAATGTCGAGTTAAAAAAGATGTACGCACAGCAGCTCCAGCTTTTGAACTCTATGCGGGAAGCACTTGGGAAGAATGGTGTACTCGAGGTGAGTCATCTTGGTTATCGAGTATCATCTTGCTTTTTTTTGTTAACAATATTCTTCCGTTGTAATTGTTGTGAATTAATTTTGCAGGGGTTAAAGTTTGTTGAACAGTTCCAACCGACAGCCGATCGACCCTTTTTCCTGGGTGATACGAGTGAGCCGATGCTAGCAGAATTATCGAGTAATTTGGCTCAGATGCATCTACGCGCAGACCAGAAAATGCCGATTTTAGGGAATAGCCCCTCTGTCACTTTGTCCACCCGAACAAAGCATCATGGACTCTGCGAAACTCGAATCGAAACCTCTTCCATTACACCACTCGTGTGTTCGGCTCAAGAGGCTGAGCGGATTTTGCTGCACCACATCACCAAGAGCAGCGTTAAACAAGCCTTCGACTTTGTACGTGCTCATTTGATGAATGTTCTCAGTTAAGCTAATTCTTTTTCTCTTGATTCTCGTGTAGAATGAGAAACAAAGCTCTCGCGAACAACAAACGGCCCATGGCCGAAGCTGCGTAACGCATCTGTACATTCAAAACGACAAGCTGGATGCCCCTCGCTACGCCAATGCATTTGGTGTCTATCGAAAGTTTGAAGATAGGAATCGAATTGATCTCGTGGGACAAGTGAGGTGGTTTGTACCTAGTGACCATCTTCATCTAGATGAACAGTACTGGACGGTGATCGAACCCTTGCCTGCAGAGCCTGAGCGCTTCTGTGTCGTTCGAGCGTATTACCAGCTGGAAGGCAGAAGTGCGTGCACTGGAGTGGGATCCCAACAAAAGGAAACGCGAGATCACGTGATGGAAGTTATCGCTAAAAAGTCGCGCCAGTATCTGCAGTTTATGCAGAGCACTTTTCTAGACCAAGTGGACCCGATAATGCAACCTTCACCTGTGATGCCGGCTTAGATTCCTGGCAGGGTTGATGAAAATACAGCTGCATTTGTTTAATACAGTCAGTATACGATCTTGACTAATCCAAGTTCTTTGCAAACAAATCAGTCAAACGTCCTCATGCTGTTGGGATGTCTGTATTACGTGGTCGTAGCACTACCAGGATAATTGAGGTTCTTCTTGTACAGACTATGAAGACGACACTGGCGTGTTTTATGAGTTTGATGGTGGGTTGATCATCCAGGAAAGTACCCTCATGCTTGAAAAGCTCCTATATCTATCATAATTGCAACCAATACGTCCAATCATATCCTGCTGCAATGGAACACTCCAGGCTAAGCTTTCACAACTTGTTTACTGCACAGTAACCGAAGGACTTGCTACGGAAAGAGCGCATATTATATAATACTAAGCATTAAAAAAACTGGCATAACATAATAAGTCAGTTTATTTATTTTCTTCGATTTCAGCTTGACCTAAGGATCTGGCATATTTTAATAATAGCCATGGCATCTTGACAGGCAAAGCCTTTATCTGGAAAACAACCCAAAACTTTACCTGCCATGCGGCACGATCGAAGCAGAGGCCCAACAGAGAGTCTAGGAACGAAAAAATTCAAATTCATGATGGTCAGAATGAAACGAATAGACAATCCCAGCCAGCAGAATATCGCGAACACCAACACTGACCTCGATGTCCGGTGGCACTAGCGATCTGATATCACTCTCGGGATGGCGAGTCACAACGTACTGATAATGGCTACACGATTAAGTCTCTCAGGTTATCTGGTGTGTACGAATATGTAAAAAAAAAGAGAAGTCGCTAACCATTCGATCAAAATCCATTAAAAAAAAACAACAACAACATCAACAAAATTTCATAAGTTAGATTAGTAGTTGCCGTACAAACTAGCTTACAAGCATCAAACAAGAGCGATAAACTGCCATGAGCTACTAATAAATTGTGAAACGCGTGTCCATGATTTTACTTTTTACTTGAGAAAATTGCATATTGAAATCAGCAGCGTGTTCGGGTAGCAATTGGGCTCACTGGATGTTTGTATGCGCAGTTTTGCAGTTCCATTCGTCTTACTCGTTTGCAAACATGATACATTTCTTAAATGAAGTCCTTCGCACCAATCTATCTCCATGCAGAGTTTGCTTAGACAGGGTTGAGCTAGTCAGCGAAGCGGTTACATCCTGGCTAGAAGCTATACCTACCTGTCACTTGCATTAATCAGCAGTGCTCTGCGGCAGAGCGCTGGCGATTAATTTGCAGAGCCTCTGCCCATAGTCTACGAGTAATTCCCTGTACATAAATCAGTGTTTCAGATAGTCACCGAGCTGTATCCTCACGGTCTAGCTATATTAAGACCACACGAATCCAATCGAGCGGGGCCTACATCTTTACAGCTCGCTGTATTTGCTTTCTTGGGTGTAACCTCAAGTGCCGACTGCCACCGCTGTGTTCTGCACGCGAGATTTTTTCCGCCAAACCTTATACAAACGCTCAACTATGCTGGCCCAAAATTTCTTCATCGAACCCGATATCTCGTTCTTCATCCGGGCCAAAGTAGTGCTGATCGTTCGCTCCTCGTCGTTAGCATTGAACCCGTCCGTGACCAGCTTGTTGTTGTTGTCCCCGCGCAGACGTCTTTGCTCATTTGAGACGAACTCGGTCGACAGCTCACGAACCGGGCTGTTGACAGTGCTGGATGAGGCAGCCCCGGCAGTTGATAAGAGCAAACACAACGTCGCAAGTATAAGCAACACGTGCGAACGCATGGTCGGAAGCAGTTCAATTTGGGATATGATCGAGACAGTTGGCTAGCTGGATTACTGTGCTGGTAACCTGGCACCATTGATAATTTATGTTGCCCAACACCATAATGTTGCTTGAACAAGCCTATTCTTGAATCCTAAGCGGGACGGGTGTCATGGCGTTTAGAACTCGAAAACGACGATGATGGCATTTTTGGGTTCTCATAATGCCGCTTGAAAAGGACATCTATAAGGAGATCTGCACTAGTCAAATAGAGATACAGGTAGATTGGGTTTGGTCAGCGCGATGACGTGGAATTTGATTTGCCTAAGAATTACAAGCGTCAATGTGACTACTGGTATTTCTCAACAGAGTTTTCACCCCTTCTAGATTTTGAGATTAGATTTTAAGAGCACGCACATGATGATTACGAATCGTACGTAATCAGTTGATGTTAAGAAGGGTGAGCAAATCTTACAGTACAGTCGTGCACCTCCAATTCGGCACCGGTATCAGTCGATACCCTGCCAGATTTTATGATTACGCGAATCGGATGCGCAATCGCCTTTGCCCATCACCACCCTAGCAATTAACCTCAACGGTTTTCGGGGAGGGATGACATGCCACATCGATCTGATTTCAAAATTTTGAAGCGGACGTCTTCATACAAATAAACACTTTATTTTTTACCGCCAAAGACAATGGGACATCGCCCTTCCTCCTACATGTCGCTAACTCTAGCACAAAAGCAGTCTTTGTGCGATCTGATTTCAAAATTTTGAAGCGGACGTCTTCATACAAATAAACACTTTATTTATTACCGCCAAAGACAATGGGCCATCGCCCTTCCTCCTACATGTCGCGAACTCTAGCACAAAAGCAGTCTTTGTGCGAGAAGTACAAGTCAGATTCTACGCTCTCTCATTCAGAACTTGCTCGTTCTACAAGGGTGTTCCTTACACATCGGTCGACGTTTACTCCGCCATGAAGTGGTTGTCTGAAGGCTGGAACAACATATCTGCAAAGACTATTAGAAATTGTTGGTGCCACACAGACATCG